TGATTTTGTTTTTGAAATTAAGCTTGTAGTAGTGGTAAGACATTTGTTCTCTTTAATTAGAAATGATCAAATAGTACTTAATTGGCAAATTTGAAAATAATCGAAACCTCTTGAATTGCAGCAACCATCTTAGTCTAAGTATAAACTTCTTCCATGGATTATATTGGAGCAATGATATTAATATTGGAACCTGATGGAAATGGATGAGGTCAGCATGTAATTTTGAATTTTGAAATAGGATTTAAATTGGATGAGTAGTACATTTTGAATATGGGGATTCTCTCCTGTATCAGAAGATTTAATGCTTTGGTTTGTTTATGAGCATCTTATTAAGAAAAATGATCATTGCTTATCATAACTAGGAGAGAATAAATGACGAATACATCAATGGTGGATAAAACTTTGGGGATGGATTCAAAACTTATAATCATCTTACCTTCCCTATAAATTAGATTTCTTCCCAGGTCGTGTTTCATTGGTTTGTCTTTAATTAATAATTAAGGAAAAATTAGAATTCACCACTCTGACTAACGAACTTTAGCAACCATTTTGTGAGAGACATAAACCACCATGTCGTAAAAATTGTTGTGATCCTATTTCTTGTTATTTCAAATTTTCGAGGACGAATTTTTTTAATGGGGGAAGACGTGAAACACCCAATTTTTATTTTCAAAGATTTTTCCAAATTAAATCTTGAATAAACTGACAGACCTGGAAATTTATTTCATCATTTTAATGCGAACACTGTGAGAAACCGAACCAAAAATCGCATGGTTGAAAAACCCCTAACCAATGGGAAACGTAAGATTTGGCCGAACCGAACCGGAAAGTCGAAACCGGTTCAAACCCAAACCATCTAGAAAAACTTCCCTTTTTCTTTTAACTCCAACGCTAAACTCCACTTTCCTCAGCAGCCCATCCTCCCACTTCTCGGCGGACACCCCAACACACAGCCACTCCATTTCCTTCTCCTCTTCTTCTCTTCCTCTTCCTTCTCTCCTTTTCCCTTCTTTTCCTTTCTTTCCTCCTTTTCCTCACTGCGCGTTGTCCCCTGGCCGAGACTAGCGAGCAGCTCACGCCACTTCACGTCGCGCGCCACTTGCCAGCAGCTGGCCAGATCGCGCAGCGCACGGCAGCAGCACAACCTTCACTTGGTCGCGCCACCACCGTGCCTACTGCTCCGCTTCTCTCCACGCCGCCAGCCCCATTTCCGGTTAGTCGCATTCCGGCAACACTATAAAATTGGGTAAAATTTTAAGATTTGTGAATGAAATTAGCTAATTTATTTAGTTAAGTTAGTTTTAGTGAATAAAAGTAATGGTTTGTAGTTAATTCAGTTAGTCAAGTTAGTGTTAGTGTTAGTAATTAGTGTTAGTAATTAATTAGTTAAGTTAGTTGTAGTTAATTGTTTGTAGCTAGTTTAATTAATTAAGCTAGTGTTAGTAATATTAGTCAATTGTTAATTAAATTAATTTTAGTATTTGTAGTTAATTAATTTAGTAGTAGTAGTTAATGAAATTAATTTTATTATTTGTAGTCAATTAGTTTAGTTAAGTTAGTGTTAGTAATATTAGTTAATTAAATTAATTTTATTTGTAGTTAATTAATTTGGTTAATTTAATTTGGTCATTGTGAATAGTTAATAGCTTTATAATATTAGTGTTGATATAATTAAGGTAGTTTTAAAATAATGTTATTGTAATGTATAAATTGGATTGTGTGGTGATGTTGAGATTGAAGGAGGATGGGAAAATGTTATTTGATTAATTGCCCGATGGATGGGCTGTGTGATTTGGCAATATTAGATATATTGTTGATATTTAAACAGGTGGGATAGTCCAATTTTTTAGGGGAGATGCTGCCGAAGATATTTTAACAGGTAGATAGTCCAATTTTTAGGGGAGATGTTGCCGAAATTTCGGTAGAAAATAAAATAAATTTCGGTAGGAAATAAAATAGAAGTCAGAAGAAAATAAGTAAAATAGAGTTTGGTAGAAAAATAAAAATTTATTATAGAAAAGAAAATAAAACTCTTAGAGTGGTAAAGAAATATTTTTATCTGATATAGTTATTTTTGTTTTGTGTCATTCTTTAAATTTCTTAGATCGCCCGGGTCCATCTAGTGCTCCTCCAGGACAACATCAAAACTAGAATTTCGCTCTCCATCACTGTGAGTAATAATAAATAATGCATATCAACACTACATTTGCATAACATTTATTTATAAACATTATATTTTTATTTACATATTTACAATATATTATAAGTATTTTATCATATATATTATGCTACGATCACTATAATTATATTTATATATGATTGTGCATTTGGATGAAATTGGTGTATTATGATGAATGAATTGTTTGATTATTTGTGCTATGACTATACTGTGATTTGTTTGTGTGGAATTGGGATGAAGTGGGTCACCATGGGTTTGTGAAAATGGTATATGTGATATGGATCCTGAATATGATATGAAATTTGGCCGGGTAAATGGGGGGTAAATGGTGAGATCGGCGCCCCCGTGTGCACCTACTGCTATGATCTGTGTGGATATGGAAAACCACAGGTTGGTTTCTGTTACTTGGGCGCCACCTGATAATCTAGATTTGATCGCAAAGCCCGCAGGTGGCCTCCTGTTGTGAGCGCCTGAGATCTAGATTTGATGGAGACGACCGGGTTACCTCCCTGTTGGTATGGTTGCCTCCTGTTGGTATGAAAAAGAAAAGAGAGAATAAAAAAACAATGAGAGGGCTGGTCAAGTGAGGATTAGACCGGTCGGCTAGTATGGGGGATCGACTCCCTGGTGCACAGGTGAGAGGATGAGCCATGTGGAAGGACGGCTCATCGGGGGTTCGGTGACTCCACTAACTAATTTCCACGTGATGTGATTATTTGAAGGTAATATTATTTGTGGGTGCTGATGTTATGCCATATGATTGATTGTTGTGTGATCATTCAGTATATTAGGGCGCATTTCATGTGACTGTATGTGGTGTGTATTATTTATTATTATTCACTGAGTTGCAAAACTCACCCCCCTTCTCTCCAAACTTCTCAGGTAGTAGTAGGAAAGTTGCTTGATCCAACGGAAAGCTCTGCCAATCTTCTCCGCAGAGTTATAAATGTAAACTTTATATTTCTGTTATTTACTTTTTGGATGTATTTAAATTATTCTTATTATTTCAGAATATTATTTGAAACTCCGCAGTTATAGGGTTGTGCATTTAAATTTGGGCCTTGTCGTACTGCGTTACTTTTATTAATTATCAGAATATTATTGAACTCCGCAGTTATAGGGTTGTGCATTTAAATTTGGGCCTTGTCGTATGCGTTACTTTTATAAATGGTATGGAATGTATAATTTGAGTAATTAGGCTTACTACGGGCCTCGGGGGCCTTATGCTTACCTGGGCCCTAGTGCCGGTCCGGCCCACGGAAACGGGTCGTGACAATAATGTGCTTGAATCTCACATTTTCTTAGCGCACGGGTCAGTCAAATTTTGAATTAAATGCGAACCACAATAATGTTTATCACTTTTTTAAAATACTCTCAAAGTAAATGTTTAATCTATAAACTAAAGCAATGGTATTTTAAACTTTTTATTTTGGCATTAGTCCTAAAGTTACCATATTAGAAAAATTTCTCTATATAAATAAAATGCCAAAAAAAAAAAAATTTCTCTATATAAATAAAACGGAGAAAGTAAAATAAAGACGATTTTAACATTTATTTTTCTATTATTAGCCTCTTTCAAAAAAATTTTCTATTATTAGTGGATACTTTTCTTTAATTCATCCAATTGATAAAACTCAATATTCGGGAAAACTGAAACCGGAGAAATCCTTCTCCACGTCAATGAGAAGCTAAATTGAACGGACTTGCATATGGAACACGGGGTGCCACACGGACACTGGACAAGGCAATTATTAAAAAATGTAGAAAACAGTACGCGCAAATCACATTAAAAAAATTATTTATTTTATTAATTGTTCAAATTAATAATAAAAGTTAAAATAAAAAAAAATTAAATATCATTTTCTTAATGCACACTATATGTGCACACTTAAATGCTAAGCATAAGCTTTTTGGTGAAATTTAATCTATGTGCATAATGTGTTTGAATCTCATATTTTCTTAATGCACGGTTCAGTCAATTTTTAAATATTAAATATCAACCACAATAATATCTGTCACTTTTTAAATACTCCCAAAGTTAACGTTTAATTTATAAGTCAAAGCAAGGGTATATTGAATTTTTTGCTTTGGAATTTATTTGGAAATTACCATATTAGGAAAATTTCTCTATAAAAATAAAATGTCCAAAAAATAAATTTTCTCAACATAAATAAAACGTACAAAGTAAAGTAAAGTCAATTTTAGCATTTATTTTTCTATTATTAGCCTCTTTCAAAGAATTTTTCTATTATCAGCGGACACTTTTCTTTTAATTCAGTCAAATTGATAAAAACTCAACGATTGAAAAAACTAAAACTTAGACATCCCTTAATGATAAGCTAAATTGGACGGACTTGGATACGGAACAAGGAACGCCAGACAGACACTGGACAAGCCGACAAGGCAATTATCAAAAAGAGTACAAAACCGTACGCGTAAAACACATTAAAAAAATTACTTATTTATTAATTTGTTTAATTAATAATGAATAGTTCAAATAAAAAAAAATTAAATACCATTAAGGAAATTTCTCCTTTGGATGGAAACATTTTATTCGGACAATAATTTCCCTATAGAGAAAACTTCCTGCTAATCTGTTTATTCAGACAATAACAAATCTTTTCCCTTTTTCTAACGGAAACGTTTTCTTGCTATGAACCGCTTACAATTATCCAAATATTGTCCCCTCAAAAAGACCTCAAATCATCTTATTTTCTTCAAAAAAACTCGTCCTCGTCCGTATTCTAACAAAATCTGGTCCTCTACTACAAGGCTTTAGCCCGCCAATTTGATGGATAAAAAGAAATAAAACACTGTAATATACATAAATATAACATATTCAAGCCAAATGCAACTACACATTATAGCTTCAAGAAATGTCCATTAACAGAAGAAATTAACAGTCCTCCAAAAGCTTAAAGAACACATGAACCCCGATAATAACAATATAGATAAACAAATATGTAGGTCAAGCAACTACAATTCATAATCAACAGAACTCAATTTTTTTGTTTAAATTTTAAGAAAATAAAATTTAATCTTCATATTCCTGGTATTGCCTGAGAAGCTCAGTACAACCAGACTCTATATCATCCTTCTCGAAACCTATAGCATTGGCGAAGCGTTTGTTTGATGCAATGCCATTGTAGCTGGTGAGGATAACGCGGGCACGATCACGGCCTGACGATGGTGATCTGCAATCTTTCTTGGGGCTGCTAACTAGAACAGCATCACAGAGCTGATCCGCATGGTCATCGTCTACATAGATCTTATAGGTACCTGTGGAGTCTGTTGTTCCTTCCTTGCTGTATACAAGCTCCATTGATTTCCTGTCCTTGCATTCCAATCTTACCTTTGCACCTAAAATCAAAAGAACATATACTTAAAAATCTCCACCACAAAAATGTTACATTTTTCCTCTATGTTACTTTTGATTATCTTGTTAATTAAGTTTAATAGTATATTTTAAACTGATCTTAAGCACATCTTTATTATTTTATTAATTTTGTGGAGGGAGAAGTGGGTAGATGACCAGATCTAAAAGGATACGAGTCAAACTCTTACTAAACCTTAGATTTTCTTTTATAATTTTAATTTAAAACAGTAATTATCTAAATTATACTGACATTATCGACTAATCGAGACAGAGTAACACTAAGAATCAAGATTCAAGGTTTGGTTCAAGTTTACTGCAAAATTAAACACAAACAGAACAGATCTAGCAATCTGCAAAAGCAAACATGTGGATGCGGTGGAAATGAACAAGAGAAGAAGTTATACCAGCGATGTAGGTGGTTTTGGGGGTTTCGAAACCAGCACGGCAAGTGTCGCAGTAGACACGGCCTTCCACCTCAAATGGATTTCTTGCAGGGCGGGCGGCGCTCACGATGGCCGGAAGCACGCAGAGCGCGAGCAGCAACACTAATCGAGCCATTGCGCTTTTGGATTTGGAGTTCACAGAGATTCGAGAGCGATAAATTTTTAGTGAGATTGTACCTCTACTTTAAGGCTGTGGATTATAAGAGAAATGATGATAACTGAAATAAGAAGCAGAAGAGGTAAGTAATGTAAATCGAAAGTTAATTGGCAAAAGAAAGTAAAGCTAATGCGGTGATAGCGCGTGAAGGAATGTTCTAGTGTAAACAAGCAGACGTGAAAACAGTGCATGAAGTGGCAGTTTCATAAATTTAGGGAATATACAGACCCTCTATGGTTTTCTTTTTTAAGCGTGGCGCGTTCTGATTGGAAGTCCATCGACGAGGTCGAAGCGAAGGTGGTGGGACATAGTGTAGAAGAAAGAACATAAGTAGTGATTGATTGCAGCTGGAAACGTCGGTGCTCACATGGGGTGGATTGGAAGTGTGGATCAGCTGTAATCCAGCCTATGGCTATCCATATGCTGTCAGCAGTCCGTGTGTCCCGTTAGATTAGATATACAATTTCTCCCAATTGGAAAGAAAATAAAGCACGAAAATAACAAATTGAATTTAGTATTGGAGTGATGTTGGTTAAAATTGAAAATTAATAGTTGAAATTTTGAAGAATTAAATAATATAATATGGAATTTTTTTGAATTTCAAAGTTGTTTACAAGTCTAACAACTCATGGTATTATTTTGACATTGGTCCAAATTTTTTCTTAGGGCTCAAGATGCATTTCATGTTGGTCTATCTTTTTTTGTTAATTAATTATGTAAATTAGGAAGATGATCATTGTAATTATTTTCTTGTATCTAATAGGAGTCTTAATTTAGGAATAATTTATATATTGCACTTTATAAAAAAAAATACATGCCTATGAAAATTGTATATTCATTAGTTACTTAAATCAAACCTTCTAGAAGTTAATTACAAAAATCACTCACATCATTTATCATTCAACTTATAATTCTAGATATTTATATATTATTAAATAATTTAAAAATTAAAAATATTTAAAAAATTAATTTTAAATACTGCATTATATCATCAACATTTAATTTATTTGCTTTTAGTCTCATGGATTTAGAACTTCTTGAATGTTTTGTCATCTTTTTTTTTTAATCTTCTTTAGATTTTTTTTTTCTTGTTGAATCTTTCATTTTCCTAAAATATTCTTAATAACTATGTTTATCACATCATTTAGTAAACTAAACAATAAAAGTAAAACAGCTTTTAACATGATTTTTAACTTTTTAGGATATATTAAATAAAATTAATTATTTCGATAGTTGTCAGTTGTTTTATTAATGTTTCATTAAATGTTAAAAAGAATAATTTTTGATGATTTGCTTTCTTAAAATTTTAAACACTAACGTAAAATCTACGCTATCTAAAACTTTTAAATAATAGAGTCTTAGCTCTATCATTTATGATATTCAATGATATAAATTTATACCGCATTTAAAATTTAAAAAGTAAATTATGAAATGTTAGTCTTCACTTATTTTTTTTTATTTTCATTAATTTAATGTAGTTAATAATTTCTCCTCTGTGTGTGTGTTTTTTTTTCTCCATGGAGTGAAATCGGGGTCATCTAGATAGTTTCATTGGCCCAGCCTTAATTTGGATGCTTCCAGTCATTCTTCAAACTTAGCTAATTTACACTCAGAGCTCTGTTTGCAAAATATAATGTGCTATTACCATTCAAACCCTCCTCCATATTCTTGTATTATTTCATCTAATTGAATGGACTGCGGTTACGAGCTTTATAGTTTTCATGTATTGTATTCATTTTGTTGAAAATATATATCGCTTTTTGGATGATTATTTTGTTTTAAAATATAAATCGTTTTGAGTATTTAAAATATAATAAATGATATTTTTTTAATGTTACCCTTATTTACATTAGATACAATAACTACTTTCACAAGTAACTATCGTGAATTTATCTTTAGTTTTGTTATAATTTAAGAGAATTAATTAATTCTTTAATTTTTGTGCAAAAATTTTAAACGAATTATATTTTGAGACAAATTGAGTATTTTTTTTTTGTATAAGAAAAATGATTTAAATATGGATTTATAGTCAGATCATGGATGCACTTACCATTAGATTATAACATTGTGTGCTCCATGTATTGTGTTAAAGAACTGTAATTGCATGCAATAACTCTAATAATTATGAACCAAAATATGATTTTCTTTCGTATTGAAAAAAAAAAAAAAAAAAAAAAAAAGTTGCATGCAATAACTCTAATAATAGGAACCAATATGATTTTCTTTCGTATTGAAAAAAAAAAAAAAAAAAAAAAAAAACTATCCATTGGCAACAACTTTTCATGCGGCAATTAGACTTTTGATTAATGTTAAAATACTATCTCGAGCATTTATAATATTAGATAGGGTAATGTTTATAATAATATTTATAATATTGAACAGAATTATGAAACGTTACTCCATTTAATGTTTAATGAAATACTATGACAAATATGTTCTAACAATCAACATGAAAATTTTAATTTAAAAAAGAAAGAGCGAGGTGGAGCAATTAATTATTTCTTATAGTAAGTGAAAATTATTTTAATTTAAAAAAAAGAAAAAAAAAAAGAAGTGGAGCACTTAATTAATTCTTATAGTAAGTGAAAATCATTCCATGGTTTGGCTTTTAGTGATATTGGAAGAGAACCAAACTTTAATTTATATATAAAGAATTCTAAAAAATAAAAAAAAAATAAAAAAAAAAGAAAAAAACCTCACCAGTCACCGTGTATCAAGACTTTGACAATGAAATGTTCAATGCTTAATACTCAATATATATATATATATATATATTTATCATATACTATATATATATATGGCTTCAGGGCGTTTTGATTTTCATGTTTATATTAATCTAGTAATCTAAAGGAACAAATGAAGTCAATATCTAGAAATTTGACCAATCAAGTATTGGAATGCAATACTTGCATTTGGTCACAACATTTCTAATATCTGGACTTCATTGTTCCTCTTAGATTACTAGCATGATACTAAACAACTGAAAATCAAACCCTGAAGCGCACCACGAAAACTAAAACATAGACAGGAAAAAGAAACATAGAAATGGCTCTCTCCAGAATATAAAGCAGCTACCTAACGTCATAAGTAGTGTATTAGCTTAATGCAAAACCTCTTTCCTATGGACAAGAGTAAACCTAAATTCCCAGCTTTAACAATTAAAAGGATATAAACATGAAAATCAAACCCTGAAGCCTGCACACGAAAACTAAACAAGAAGGAAAGAAACATAGAAATGGCTCTCTGCCAGATAAAGCAGCTACTAATCATAAGTAGTGTATTAGCTTTAATGCAAACTCTTTCCTATGGAAGAGTAAACCTAAATCCCAGCTTTAAAATTAAAGCAGTTAATCTTGGAGGTTGGCTTGTTACAGAAGGATGGATTAAACCTTCTCTTTTTGATGGCATCTCCAACAACAATTTCTTGGTTTGTGAATTGCCTTGTCGTTTTGAACTCTCATTATTACTTTGTTTGCAGTTTCATGAAACTAAGTTTATTTTTAAAAAATTTTTCCAGGATGGGACTGAAGTTCAGCTTAAATCAGTCACAGTTGGAAAGTATCTTTGTGCAGAACTAGGTGGAGGAACTCTAATAGTTGCAAATAGAACATCTGCTTCAGGCTGGGAAACGTTTAGAGTAATTTTTATTTCTATTTTCTTTAAGTATTATTAGAGTTATTATTAATATGTATTTTTCTTCTGTCATTGAAGTTATGGAGGATCAATGCCACCACTTTCAATTTTAGGGTTTTCAATAATCGATTCATGGGTTTGGACGCCAAGAGCAATGGAGCTAATATAATATCTGCTTCCAACACACCAGGGAGATCAGAGACGTTTGAGATTGTTATAAACCCTGAAGAAACTACCCGTGTTAGAATCAAAGCTTCCAATGGATTCTTTTTGCAGGTTATTTGCTGTTTCTTCTTTCTTCTGTACATGAACATATATAAAAATATGAGCTTTTGCATGATATGAAAGGAAAATTGCAGGTGAAAACAGAGGAGCTGGTGACAGCAGATTATGCAGGTGATAGTAGTACGTGGGAAGATGATGACCCATCTGTATTTCAGTTTACTAATAGAACGAGATTTCTTGGAGAGTTTCAGGTGACTAATGGTTATGGTCCAGAATTAGCCCCAAAAGTTATGCAAGTAAGAGAACAATTCCTTGTTAAATTAGCAGTTAAAGGACAGTTAATTGAAGAGATAAACACTAACAGTTAAACATAGCAGGTTATGTTTTCAACTGCTCATTTTAACTGATGTCATTCAGGAACATTGGAATACATTTATAGTAGAAGAAGACTTCAAGTTCATATCTAAAAACGGATTAAACGCCGTCAGAATACCTGTTGGTTGGTGGATAGCAAGCGATCCAACACCTCCAAAGCCTTATGTAGGAGGCTCGCTGCAAGCTTTAGACAATGCCTTCTCATGGGCAGAGTAATAAACAAAAACCCTTTATCTCAAAAACAAAATTCCTCTTAATTTACACTAATATGGTAATAATATTGACGATGATGATGATAATCAAATACTTCTATTGCAGAAAATATGGATTGAAGGTTATAATCGACCTACATGCTGCTCCTGGCTCTCAAAATGGCATGGAACACAGCTCTTCAAGAGATGGGTCTCAAGAATGGGGATTAACAGAAAAGAACATACAGCAAACAGTTGGGGTTATAGACTTTTTAGCTTCTAGGTATGCTAAGAGCCCAAGCTTACATGCAGTTGAGCTAATAAATGAGCCTCTTTCACCAGGAGCAACACTAGATATGGTGACGAAGTATTACCAAGCTGGTTACAACGCAGTTCGCAAATACTCTTCTACAGCTTATGTAGTTATGTCAAATAGGCTGGGACCATCTGACTCAACAGAACTCTTTCCTCTTGCAAGTGGCTTAACCAGAACAGTAATTGATGTTCATTATTATAATCTCTTCTCCGATGTGTTTGATAATATGAGTGTGCAACAGAACATTGATTTCATCAACACTAATCGGACAGCTCAATTGAACAATGTCACCACATCAAATGGACCTCTCACTTTTGTCGGTACGAATTTATTATTGAAAAAATTATCGTGTTAAATATTTTGATTAAAAATTATTCTTAACTTGAAGCTTAAAAGGCTTAAAACTACTACTGCATATATGATTATTATTAGTGAAATTGTTAATAGATAAATGAGTAATAATGACTTTGAATGTGTATTTTGGGTTTGCAGGAGAATGGGTGGCAGAGTGGCAAGTTACAGGTGCAACTAAAGAGGATTACCAGAGATTTGGCAAAGCCCAGTTACAGGTATATGGGCGTGCAAGCTTTGGATGGGCGTACTGGACTCTTAAGAATGTGAACAGCCATTGGAGCTTAGAATGGATGATCAACAATGGTTACATCAAGCTCTAGATGCGAACATCACACATGTTTCGTATATTTCCAGCATTCCAAATTCATCTTCTTAGTTTGATCATGAACAAACAAAACCATCCATGCCTGTATAAGATAACTAGCAAAAGAACAAAATAAATTTCCTCTGATATTATTTTCTTTTAGTTTATATGGATACAAACATTTTTAATTTACTTTTGAATACAGGAAAAAAAATATAATGTGAATGGAAAAATAGTTCTTGATTTCTTTTTCTGGGGCTGTTCCCCTCGTTAGGAATTTAAAAAAAAAAAAAAACTATAATATCTGGACAAAGTAAAAATACAGATCTCCACTGCTACTCGTGGCGTAAATCGAAAAATAATAAGCAACAAGAAGTCAGGATTGGCTTGCTCTTCTTGGACGGAGTTTCGGATCGCTACCACTGGGCATTAACTTCCAGGATTTATGCATTAAACTAATGTTCTCGCTTTGTTTTGCTAATAATCAAGATGAACGAAAGTCAATTCTAGAGATTCCCATCCAATTAATTATTTCATGTGTTCCAATTCTTGATTTATAAATACAAAAAGCGGAAAGCTACACCACACAAGATAAACACAGAAATGGCGATCTGCTCACTAAAGCAGGTGCTTACCATAAGTACTGTATTTGCTTTAATTGTAGCTGTCTCCAATGGGAGATCAGTCAAACCCAGCTTTAAAATTAAAGCCGTTAGTCTTGGAGGTTGGCTTGTTACGGAAGGATGGATTAAGCCTTCTCTTTTTGATGGCATCCCCAACAAAGAGTTCTTGGTTTGTTCCTTTCTTTGAGGAATCTTAGTGCGTGTGTTCTTACATTGCCATTAGTTGCTGCTTTCTAATTTCTTGATATTTAATTTTTGAAGGATGGAACTGTACTTCAGTTTAAATCAGTTACCGTTGGGAAGTATCTCGGCGCTAAGTCAGGCGGAGGAACTATAATGGTTGCAGACCAGGCATCTGCCTCAGACCGGGAAACATTTAAAGTAACTAAGTTACTGTTTCTAATTCTTTTTTTCCTTTTTTGGTACTTCTGAAATAATTATAATAATGATGTTTTATTTATTTTTTACGCATTAAAGTTAATGATTTCACTAACCATGTCTTTAATTGAAGTTGTGGAGGATCAACGCGACCAATTTCAATTTGAGGGTGTTCAACAAACAGTTCATGGGATTGGACAAAAATGGCAATGGGACTAATGTTGTAGCTGTATCCAACAAACCAGGGAGATTAGAGACATTCAAGATTGTTAGATACCATAAAGATGCTACACGAGTTAGAATCAAAGCTTCCAGTGGGTTCTTTTTGCAGGTGATTTGATTCTTCAGTTGCTAGTTTCTGTAAATGTAAAATATGAGCTTTTGCCTGTCCACAGTTATACGTGTATATATACCCACATTTCAATTTGAGGGTGGCAAACAAACAGTTCCATGGGATTGGACAAAAATGGCAATGCGGACTTAGATGTTGTAGCTGTATCCAAACAAACCAGGGAGATTAGAGACATTCAAGGATTGTTAGAACCATAAAGATGCCTACACGAGTTAGAATCAAAGCTCCCAGTGGGTTCTTTTTTGCAGGTGATTTGATTCTTCAGTTGCTATAGTTCCTGTAAATGTAAATATGAGCTTTTTGCCTGCCCACAGTTATTACGTGTATATATATAGTATATATATAATATATATATATAATATATATATATATATATATATATTTGTAAGTACAGGTGAAGACAGAGAAATTGGTGACAGCCGATTATGGCTGCGAAAGTACATGGAGAGATGATGATCCATCAGTATTTATAATGACTGTTGTTGGAAGTATGCATGGAGAGTTTCAAGTCACTAATGGATATGGTCCAGAATTAGCCCCAAAAGTTATGCGAGTAAGACAACGGTTCCTTCATGTTTTTCCAATTAGTAACTCTTTAAAAGCTCATTCAAACAAGTTTTTAAATAATGTCATTTCAGGAACATTGGAACACATTTATAACAGAAGATGACTTCAAATTCATATATCAAAATGGGCTAAATGCTGTGAGAGTACCTGTTGGTTGGTGGATAGCAAGCGACCTAACACCTCCAAAGCCTTACGTAGGAGGCTCTCTCCAAGCATTAGACAATGCCTTCTCTTGGGCAGCGTATGTGAATAAAACCCTGCATATATCTCAACTACCTTCAGTAGATACGTTCATGAGTTTGAGTCCAGAGTTAGATAATAATGGCTAATATACTAATATACTTGCTGCAGAAAATATGGATTGAAGGTTATACTCGACTTACATGCAGCTCCAGGGTCTCAAAACGGCTGGGAGCACAGTTCTTCAAGAGATGGGTCTCAAGAATGGGGATTAACGGAAGAGAACATACAACAAACAGTTGGTGTTATAGATTTTTTAGCTTCCAGGTATTCAAAGAGCCCAAGCTTATATGCAATTGAGCTAATGAACGAGCCTCTAGCGCCAAGAGCAACACTAGATAGTGTCACCAAGTATTACATGGCTGGTTATAATGCAGTTCGCAAACACTCTTCTGCAACTTATGTGATTATCTCAAGTAGGCTAAAGCTAGGAGAAAGTGATCAACCAAGAGAGCTCTTCCCTCTGGCTAATGGCTTAACAAGAATTGTGATTGATGTTCATTACTATAGTCGCTTCCCTAATATGACTGTTCAACAGAATATTGATTTCATCAAAACTAATCGCTCAGCTGAGTTGAACCATGCTACTACATCAGACGGACCTCTCACTTTCGTCGGTATGCACCCGTCAATTAATTTAGAGTTTTTTTTTTTTTTTTTTATTAATTTAGAGGTTTTTTTTTTTTTTTTTTTATAATCAATTATTGAAGCATTTGTTTCTAAATTGTGAAAAAATTTCAAATATTTTTCCCCAAAAAAAGAAATTCTAGAAAAGGGTTTTTTAGGTTAAAAAAAAAAAAAAAAAGGGATTGTGATTATTGAAGATTATTGTTGTTAATGGAATAATGCTTCTTTAAAAATTAAAAAAAAAAAAAAAAAAAGGGATTGTTGTAATTGAAGATTATTTGTTTGTTAATGGAATAATGCTTTTATATGTTTCTATTTTGGATTTGTAGGAGAATGGGTGGGAGAGTGGGGAATTTCAAATGCAACGAAAGAGGATTACCAGAGATTTTGTAAGGCCCAATTAAAGGTATATGGGCGTGCAAGTTTTGGATGGGCCTATTGGACTCTTAAGAATGTGAACAACCACTGGAGTCTGGAATGGATGATCAACAATGGTTACATCAAGCTTTAAACCAATTAGAATTGATATTGCTAATAGTATCAATTCTCTGTTTTGCCTGGAAAATAACTTGTCCCCAGAAAAAATAATTTCTTTTGTTTCTTCAATGAACTGAAAATCAATTGGTCTTGGCATTTGGAATATATTCAAAAAACTTTAAACATATTAATGGAATCACTAAATAGTTAGATAGAATTAGAATAGAAGAATTATTAAATCAATTTTTAAAAAACACAAGCTTTGAATAATTTCACTACAATAAAGACTCTTTTTTCAAATGTCTTTAATATCAAGAATTACCCAAAAATATTTCATAAAATATATTTCCTGAGGCCAAAACTTGTTCCTTACATTTTTACATAAAAGAACATGGAACACCTAATTAGTTATAAGGTCAAAAATTGAATAAGATTATAAAAAGAATATTCATATAGGATTGAATTAAAATTTTTAAATTATTTGCATCTTAGGTTACAAGATTCTATGATGGGACTTCAATTAAGACAAGCTTCAAAACCTGGGATTTCCCTTTTGTAATTATCTTATGACAAAACATAAGACTCCTTCAACTAAATGCAAATAAATAGAACAAACGATGTTTAATATACTCTGAGAAAATTAGGTCCTAGGTTTGAACTCTCTCTTCATTTCTATAAATTTATAATTCATATTTTTTAAAATTTAAGTCTTTTCAACCAATGATGAATTTCGTGTCTAAAGAAAAATTCATTCATAATATTATTTCCATCCACTTGGTTTTTCAACCCTAAAAGGAGATAAGAGAAAAAAAAAACAGTTAAATGCTTTTATTTGGCCCAAAAAATTAGATTAAAAGAAGAAAGAGTTAAGTGGAATCCACCACCAAAGAAGGAAGTGACAGTACAGCTGTAGCCTTTTTGCAGGCGTCATTAGTTTTTGTCCGATGCCATCTCACTGCCTAACATTAATCATTAATACAAATTAAATTCCCATAACATATTTCTTCCTTTTATAAATATATATTTTCATATTTATAATAAGCTTCAATTCAGTAATTATAAAATAATATTTTAAATTCTAATTTTTGTTTTCACAAGAATAATATATAATATATTTTAATATTTTATAGAGATTTTATGCTTAAATTGGTGGGTGGTGCCCTATAATGTGATAATAATATGGAGATATTTTGCTTGTGATAGTCATTGTTGAGGAAGCAAGCTACCAAACATCTGTATGACCACTTGTGGAAATTCTTATTTCCTAAGCAATCACTTTGCTCAAGCATTTATCGAATTCTTATAGATGTATCACTGATTTATTTAATGAAAAATAGATGGATTGAATTAATATTGTAAATAATATAGTAGAGATATCATTTTCTTTTTAACAATTTATATCGAATTAATGAAAACTGTTGGTTGAGAAAATCCAAATTGAACCATTATAAATATCTGTTCTATTAACGAGCTGTTGATTTAACGTGTGGATTCAAAAGTTCGGAACTGATGGCTCATTTAAATCAGTAGGTCTAATTTTAAGGAATTGCTTTGGTGCAATCATTATCAATTGATGTGCTTCTCGTTATCAACATCAAAACAACTTTATTTTCAAAAAAAAAAAATCAAAACAAATTAAAAGCTAGTATAAGACCACCAAAAATACAAGAAATATACTATCAGAAGAACAGACAATAAAGCTGGAAACGACAAATCCCAAATACTGTAATTGGCATTTATATCAATTTGGACTGACAATTATTATTTGTATGAATTTATTGCATAATGTACAATGTAAGAAATTACGAATTCAAAACAATTTATTAGTTTAAATAAATTAAAAAGAAAAAAACATTTTAATTTCGAAATCAATAGCCAAAATGTCATTTGTATAAAAAATAAATAACAAATAGAAATAAAAATGAGCGTAAAAATCCCATTGCCACATCAACTAATAAATGAGAATTACATCAAATTTGAAAAATAGATGAACAAATCATTCTTTTTGAGGAAAAATAAATAAAAAGAAAGGTTCCTCCTTGATTGCTGCTAAGAAATTAATTTAAGCAATGAGATCAAAATCCATTACACTAAACAAAAAGCAATGAGGTCAAGATTTGTGTGGCATAATTTTTTTCATATATCATCACAGAAATTCTGGGCCTTCATGAAAGGGATCTGTAATGCATATAATATATTATTATTTGTTTTTATAAAAGAGGCTCAAAACCAAAGGAAACTTGCTAACATGCAATTAATTAATTATGTGATTTTCAAAATGTTTAGTGCTGAGAGGTGACTTGGCTAGCACCCATCTCTTCTTTGTTTGGTCCAAATTGATGTATGAACATAAAATAAGCACTCCTTCACATTCTCTTAATTAAATAAGCAATTGAGTTTATGCACTTTGCAGCTCCTAGCTAGATTGCTTTGTGCTTTCAAAACCAAGTACTCATTTTTCTTTTTTCACTTGTATCATCTTTCATATTATTATCTTGTTACCTTTATGATGTCATCTTGTGATTTATAAGTGTTCACAATGATATCTCTGTCCCATTAATTTAATGCAAATATAAAATTGCTAAACCTGTTCATGAGTCCAAATTATCTTTAAACTGATAAATTTTATAAAATCGAATTTGTCTAATTTGAATTTTTTTTTTTTTTAATTTAGACTTCCAACTCATTCAAAAAAAAAAAAAAAAATTTCATTTAGAACTCATTTAATATATATTCGGGTCTCAAACTCTGGTATTATATTAAAAAGTGACAGTCAGATCACTTGACAAGCATATGATGATTATACATGGATCCATCAGGGCAACACTCACACGGGAACTTCCCTCATGCAATATGCCTATGTTAAGAATCTAATCACTAAGAGAAATTAGTCAAATTTAATTAATAATTTATTTAATAATTAGTTTATAATGAGTTGAATTTAACTTTAACATAAAATTGCCTAAATCATTTTTATTAATTCATTTTTCTCATTATATGTCATTTATTTACTTTATATTTATTCAATATTGGAGCAGCCACGTAATTCTATAATTTGAAGATCGATTGTATTACTAATTAGCTCAAAAACTGAATTAGAATTGAGATTTTTTTTTTTTTTTTTTTTTTTGAAAGTAATAACCCAAATAAGTCAAGATTGGATCAAATCAATAAAAAGAAAATCTTGAGATATACAGATAGATATATATGGTATGGCCAATCAAAACCATATGAGATCTGATTGTTATTTTCAGAAGTTCTTTAATTTGATTCCTATCTTCAATAACATATGGGTGATGATATGCTATATTTTGAAGCAAAAAATAAAAAATAAAAAATCTTGCTTTCCACTGTGATAAAGTTATATGCTTCAACCAGCTTATTTGCATATTTTTACTCTATTTTTTATAGCATATTCTCCATCTTAAAAAGAAGCAAACACTTTAAAAATGTAACTTGAGATTTTATACATCTTTTTAATCTGATAATGGAGGGCTGGGTAGATCCTTACTTTAATTTCCACTTCAATGTGCTTAATTACTATGCTAGAATATTGTTTATTCTTTTTTTTTTAATGCAATTATCATTTCAAACTCCTCGATTTTTCAAATAATTAACTATGCATAAATAACTTATAACATATAATATATATTTGCGTTTCTACATCGGACTGAAGATAGTATTTATATAAAAGTTTACTGATACAGTATGGTAATTTTAGATTTTAAATTCTAAATTCTAAATTTTATAAATAAACCCATGTAAATGCTATCCTTTTTTTTTTCAATCATTAAGAAGATTTTATGCATATAAAAATTGTTTATAATTAATTATATATAGATGTAATACAAGAAGCAATTTATTTGCTGGCTTGATATTTTTGCATTAAAAATTGTTCTGAACTTTTGCATGATTGGTCAATACCATTAATCAATTTTGATAGTGAGAGCACTTGACCTGACCCCCCATTTTGGCTTTTCCAAAAATTTTCTTATAGTAATAAAATCACAAACAAACACTTGAAATTATATATTATATATACTATATATATATTATAATTATATAATTTTCAAGTGTTTGTTTGTTGATTTTTTACTATAAGAAAATTTTGGAAAGCAAATATATATATATATTAGTCACATTGAGAGCGGTGCTTGTAAATTTTTCAGACATATTATTAAATTCATAATAATGTTCATAAAAAATACTGTGTGTAAGAGAATAACAGGTGGCAAAATGCATGTGCATGAGAATTATATTTTATTATAAATAATTTATAGTTAACTAGTTTATTTAATGCTTTTTTTTTTTTTTTTTTTTTTTGGGTTATATATTAGACAACAAGTTGAAGTGAGCGACAGAGCAACCTCCAACCCTAGCTAGCTAGCTCTAAATTTTTTTTTTTTTTTTTTTTTTTTTGGGTTATATATTAGACCAACAAGTGAAGTGAGCAGACCAGGAGCTACCTCAACCCTAGCTAGCTAGCTCTAAATTAAACTAAATGACTGTATTTGCATAAGGTTATAATTATAAGATTCTATATAGTTTGATATTTTATTTCATATCATAATAATGTGAGAGTGCTTCTTTAACTTCTCCCACCTCTAGAAAGACAAATAGCAATTAATTATTTTGTTATGATTAAAAAATAATAATTTCAACTAATTCAGTTTGATATATATTTTTTTTAAATATGAATTAATAACTATGTATTTTATTTTTAATTATGACTAGCTAGTGCTTCAAATTATGTCAATTGATTGTACATAAAACTTCCTCTCACTCGTTTTTTTTCTCCCTATCCGCCAGTAATGAACTATTTTAGCTAAGATCATACACATATATGTCACGTTAACCATTTGATTTGGGAGTTTGGATATGTGTTATCTAAAATCAACAATAATTAATAATAAAATTAAAATTTAGGCATATAATCAACCCCAATTAAAAAATCTATTATAGTTGAAAATCATACATGAGTTCATATATATGGACAATAATTGTTTAAAAAAAATCTAAATTAAGTAGAAAAAAAAAGAGAAAAAGAAGATTTTTTTTTTTTTTTTGAAAACTTAGTAATTCATTAATAATAAATATAAGTTGAGTAAATTATAATATTTCGACAGGAATGAAAAATACAAATATAGAAAATTGAAATTTTCTGTTTAGAGATGTTTTTTATCTTGGCCGAAGAGGTTAATCTTCAAGGTAAAAACTAGTCCATTTTCAAATAGGACGACAAAAGAAATTTTTTACAGTATTGTCCCGAATATTGTTTTTCTGAAAACTTGTTGCAACTGACGCTCGTAGCAGAGTTTAATATACCAAACTTTAATCGAGGAACAGGCCGTACTATTAGGTTCCATTGATAAAAAAAACTTATCCGAACTTGAAGATCTAAAGTCTCGAACCACAAGCAACCAACAATCTATCTTATCTTTTGAACTACCTGAGAAATAAAAGATCTACATAAAAACTTCTCAACAATGAGTAATAACTCTATGAAAGGAAATAAATTAATAACCCCACTAAGAGGGTTGCAAAAACACTCAATATCTACAGATCTGAGAGACTAAATTCAAATTTTATTCCGAACGATTATATGTTTAAAAATCATTAAAAAAATAAATAAAATAAAAAAAAGCGATAGAGAGAGATGAAAAGAAACCACCCCTAACCAAAGAAGATGGTTGACGGTGGTTTAGAAATAAAATCTAAAAGAGATATTTTTTAAAACCCAATCCGTTTATTTCCATAAAAAAAAACTTGCAGGAAAATATTTTTTTACAATTTTTTGTTGTTTGGGCGTTTAGGAAAATAAGTTAACATAAAATATTTTTTTAATCAAAGGAAAATTAAGTCATTTTTTAAGGAAAACAATTTTCCATTTTCGAGAGAATAAAATATTTTTCGAATATTGGCAAACCTTATAAATCTATATTTTTTAATTTATTAATCATCATAGTCATTACCACCGGTCACCATTTATCACTAACAACCACCACCGGATACCATCATCGGCTACTGACGACTTTTATAATTTTTTTCGCATTCTTTTCATATTTAAATAAATTTTTTGAATTATAAAATTTATATTATTAATAATATTTTTTATGATCTTATGAGATAAAATACTTTAATATTTTTAACTAATTTTTAATATTACAACCAAACAATAGAAAATAAGTCATATTTTCCATGAAAATATTTTTCAGCAAGTTATTTTCATATAATTTATTTTATGAAAATAAACGGAGCATAAATGTAATAAAATATAAGTTAATTATATTTCAATTAATCATTTCAAAAAAATAGAATAAATTAAAAAGCATCATTTCATAATGTTCATTTTATTGCAATATTATTACTCTAATACATACTTATCACACTAGACAAGGACATATCTACAATGGAAGCATTGCAGGCACCTGCTGATTTTTTATATTTTAGTTTATGTTTATTCACATCCTGTATATATTATTATATTAATTTAAATTTACTCTATTAGATTTTTATCTCTTATCTTCGCTAAATTATTATTATTGTGTATTACCCTAATGCCCTCGCTCACAGATTTTTTTAAAATTCGGCCAAATACTATATAGTAGATATTTGTGGTCTACCATATGTTTCAGGCTTGGTTTAGTTACAATATGTAGAGATCTACTGTTTGTTCACTGTAGTTCCTGACTTCCTATAATTAATTATAGGGATCTGTACATGCTTATGCCAAAATTTATAATTATTTGTAATAGTGTTGCTAAATTATTGAAAATTAATTTTAAAAGTGACCATCACAATGTACGGTTCATAAATCAAATCATTACCCACTAATTAAATTATTAATCTGCTTTTTTCTGTATTATAATTGCGATAATTGTGGTTAAAAGGACGGTTCAAATTTGATACTTTACACTTCTCGTAATAGCGAGAAGACTAATTAAATTACCATCTAATTAATATATTTCAATAAATATAATGATACCATTTAATAAATGGAAAAATATATCTCCAGTTGTCAAATAATTTGTTATTTTGTTTTTGCCTGTACTAACATGAAAATGGGTAAGCACAAGAAGGACAGGCATAAATTAACATAAAGTATTGTGCATGGTTATGACAATGGATTATTACATATTATTAAATATAAATAAATAAATATATATATATATAGAGAAACATCTCCATGTTCTTAACTCAACAACCAAAAACTTACCAAACCCACTCAAAATATGAAAATTGAGATCCTATCAAATATGACATGTTACAATTTCATTGGACAATAAATCTCACTAGATTTTGACTGCTGTCACTGGAGCAAGAAACAGTGAAGACTGCAAGAGTATCCAAAGCTCAAAAAAATAAACATGACGTGGATTAATTTTCTTTATTATTATTATTATTATAAATAAAATCACTAATTAAATGTACGGCTGAGATTCACTCCTCGGTTTCTGGCTCTTCTTTTATCTCCCCAATCTCAACTTCTCCTTCACTTCCGTTCCCTCTCTCTCTCTCTCTCAAGATTTCCCTCTCTACAGAAAACCAAAAGAAGAAGAAGAGAAATTTTGTACAAGATGTTGTTAGGGAAGAGAACCAGACATCCAATCAAGAGAACAACAAGCTTATCGGAAATCACCTTTGATCTAGACGCTAATGGTTGTGAAGCAGCTCCACCATCTGATCTACACAAACAGATGGTTGGTCAGCTAGATCAACGGCTCTTAGCTGCTGCTAATATATCACCAAGAGTAACCCACAGAAGGGCTTCTGCTGATTTCTTGGAAACTGCTCATTTTTTGAGAGCTTGCTCTCTCTGCAAACGCCGGTTAGTTCCCGGCCGTGACATCTACATGTACAGGTATATATTTTTTTTATCAAATCAGTAATTTATATTTATTTCTTTTAATAATTATGAATCTGGATTTTAATTAATTTCTTTCTTTTTTCAGAGGAGATAGTGCTTTTTGCAGTTTGGAGTGCAGGCAACAGCAAATGAACCAAGATGAAAGGAAAGAGAAGTGTTCACTAGCATCCAAGAAACAAGCTGGAGTCTCCACCGCCGCCGCACAGGAAGTCATCGCCACAAAAGGGGAGACTGTCGCCGCCTTGTAGAGAGAGAGAGTCATTATCATCCATGAATGGCCCAGAATTGAAAACCTTCAAGTTCGCTTAATTATATAAATATATAAATCTAAAAAAATTGTAGAATTATATATTTTATTATGCAAAGAAATGGGTCTGATGCTATGCAAAGAAATGGGCAAGTTTTTGAAGCTATTATTTTATGTGGCTCAAAATTTTATACCAGAAGCAGATTTAATCTGTAGTTCTCCATTTTTTTTTTTTTTCTTGATTCTCTTTGTTCTTGGTTTTTTTGCTAGTGGAAGGAAGAATTAAAATTTCAGATTCATCACAAAATTTGTTATAATTTTTCTTTTTACAAATATATGTTAATGTTGGATCGATCAGTACTTGTATTGATCAATTTTGAACGAGATTCCACTCGTTTTCCTATGGAAATATTATGAGCGACAAGAATTGAATTCCTTTCAATTTTCGGTTTTATAAAAGATTTACCTATACGTCAGCTGTATAATTAATCAGATTTAGTAAATAAAAATATGCATGTCTTTACACTAAAATAATGAAGATGATGAAGATGGATGACAATATTATCACGAACAGGAATTGCACTTTCTTTTTCTTTTTTTTTCTTTTTACCTTATTTTCAACTAATTTTCTGTTGGTGAAGAAGTTTGGTTGAAAAAAGACAAATGAGAAATTAATTAACCTTCATTTTGTGAATCTAAATAGAGAAAATATTCAAATGCTTAATTATATATGTATATAAACAAATAATAATATTTTTCAATTAGCAAGAGTTTGGCTACCTTAACGATTTCACCTATCAATCCTCGGAAAAGGAGATGAAAAGGGAGATCATCACTATTAATTAGTAATTTTTACATATTATTGTTTGTTTTTAAGCAAAATATATAAATTTATCATTATATTTTGCTATTTTAATTTGTAGCCATCTTAATTTTTATTACGATACATCAAACACTTCTATCTTGTAATTAATTACAGCTATCAAATACTAGACTTTTAAAAAATGTAAAAATTATTATTTCAAAATTTTAAATTTATATCGAAAGTAATATCATGTCAAATTCAAAAATTCTAAAAATTATTTTTTTAAAAGAAATGTGTACAATATTATTAAAATTTATAAGTTTTAGTGCATAATAAATAATTCATAAAATTTAGGGTATACTAGAGAGTTAAAATGGTAAAATTCATGTATTTAACCTTTTTATATATTGTACTTTTAATTTCAATGTTAGTACAAATATTTTATTCATGAAACTTATTGTAAGGTCTTACATAGACATATGATAATTCAATGTATGAAAATAAATGTCTCCACTCGAAAAAGGTAACAGCTCCTTAGATATTTATTTTCAGGATTGTGTTACCATTTTAGTTACAAGGCAAGATCTACGAATTTATTTAAATTTCATACTGAAATTATTATAGAAATTTAATGTAGAGTTTATATAAATTTAAAATTTTCAATTTCAACAGTTAATTTTTAAAGTCTGATTATCTTATGAGTCATAATAATTGATATCAAAGTTAATTATATATTCATTTAATTATAATTCAGAGATGTAAATAGTTACGCAATTGCGAGTGAATTTTGGAGATGAAAAATAATAATAGTATTTAACTTTTTTTTTTTTTTCTTTATAAAGATTCTAGAAATTGAAGTGGGTAAATAGGAGAAAAGAGGGTACATTATAATTTTTAGAAGGTTCTCTAAGTAAGTCCTCCAGGATTAGTGCTAATAAGTAAAAAAAAAAAAAAAAAATGGAAGGGAATCTGTGGCCTAGTCAGCTTTGCACGTAGTGGGGCCTACCTTTCACAATACAAAGAGAAAATGGAAAAAACAAACGGAAGAGATTCATTATTTCATTTTGGAGGGCAGCCATTTACCGATTCCAGGGGTGGTGACGTGGGACCACAAAAATGACTACATATTTTCAACTTTTTTTTTGTCAAGTGGGCCTATCATTTCGCCCCACAGGCCCACAGTATTTATGATTTTAACGTTTTAATTTTTTTTTCTCCAACCATGCAATGAGCGAAATGGTTAATTGACTGTTAACTACCTCTAGTTTTTAAGAGTTAGTTTATCTGAAATTATACTATCATCAAGAAAAATTAATTATTTTTAATTTTATCCTTATTTATTTAATATAAGAATAGATAAGAATTAATTTTTTTTACAATTTTTTAAAATTAATTTTTATCGCTTTTTATACTCACTTTCAATTTTATTGGTAATAAAAAGAGAAATATTAGAATTAAAATAATAGCTTAGGAATTCCAAAATTTGAACCCTAAATCTAATAAGCAAAGTTTGAAGGATGTAGTCCACTTATGTCGGTTTAATTGTCTATTAAACATATTTAATTGATTTTCTATATAAAAGTTTAAACATTGAGCAGAATTTGAAATTTAAAATAATAAATTCATACTTATTAGACATCTATTTCTAAATATTCAAAATCCATATAATTAAAATTAGATGGGATCGAATTATCGAAAATATTTAACTGGTTTTTGCCCCCTTCCCTATTTGATGGAGTTGTAAACTTGTAGGTTTGCTTTTCCAAATTATTTATTTTCTCAAATTATTGTATATTGTATATTTTTTAACTCGCATATACGTTTAGTAAATCAAAATAGCATTATAGAATATGCATCAGAAAAATTTTCTTAACTGACTAAGTTAGTAAAAACTCTTAGTTAATAAAATTCAATCAAGTTTAATCAAATTGATTCGGTAATGAAGCCAATTCGATATTGTGGTCTGGATTTAAAATATGATTCAAGAGATTCATTTCACAACTACTTCATATAAGAAAACACTTACTTACAGTTGATGTATCAGCCTACTATATACACAAAATCAATAAAAAATAATACATGCTCTATATATAGTATTTCGGAGCTCGTTCGGTTCAGTTGTTTATACCAGTTAATCACTGATAACGGTTGCAGATAGCGGATAGCCAGTAATTATTAGGTACAAAATAACTATTAACTGCATGAATCAATTAAATCAAACACTTTTTAGAGGAATACAAGCCAAAAATGCTATAAATTAAGTGGCAATATACGGGAGATTTAGTTATCATATTCACTGTAGATGTACGCCAACGTGCATTTAGCTATTTATACAAAACAAATTAGTGGGAAGTAATTAAATCTTTTCTAGTACTTCAATTTTTTTTTTTTTTAGGTATTGGGAAGATGATTCGAATTTGAATCTATTATCAGGTCGTGTATGCACTTACAACTAAGCTATACATTGGTGTGCAATTGCGTCTTTTTTTTTTTCTTTAACAGTAGTTATAAGATTAGATTTTGGATTTTGAAGTTTAATTAATATACAAGATATAAAAAAAAAAAGGTTACAATATAAAAAGATATAATATAAAGATGCAAGTGTCCTAGTTGACAAATAACTTATTAAAAATGAAATCTATAACGCGGTGAGGGAATCTTTATTTTATTTTATTTTTTTCATAGGTGAAATTCTTTTCAAGTGTCCCTATAGCACTCAATTTGGCCAATTGGAGAAGAAAATTAACAATATAAGATCGAATAACATCGGATACTTTTTTTTATTATTTATTTATATAATATTTGTTCTTGCTTTTCTTTTACTCACAATATGACCTTAGGTATACACTTTTGTACTCTTTATTGACTTCTTAATTAATATTCATATTAATTTATAATTAATCAATGCTTATTGTATAAACAAATAATTTATGACAAAAATGTTATTTACTTTTATAATTAAAGTGTAATTTCATAACATCATTTAACATTCGAAATTGAAATTTTTATTTACTGATAAAAAAGGTTTGCTTTTTCTAAGGTTTCAATCAAAATTATGGCTTCTATTCTGCCGAGGATCGGGAAACAAGTGGGCATAATAATTCTGCAAACTCCACTTACTTTTAAGGTAAAGTTACTTTGCTTTTGATGTCTTTTGTGGTTGTATTGTGTGTTCTTTCACATTCCTCTCTTTTATATATTTTCAAATAATAACTTTAAATATAATTTGTTGGATTTACTCATAAAACCAAAAATTCATTTAATTAAAATTTTAAAAATCCATAATTTAAGTGATTAAAATTATTAAATTATTAAATTAATGAACAAAATAACTTGAATTAAATATTAGTACAATAAAAATAAACATCCGCACATTTAATAATTTAACTAAACCTGTCACTACAAAGTATAAACAATTCACCTTATTGTAATAATTTAATACTAATAAATAAACTAATTAAGTGAATAAAAAAAAGTGTTTAATCCCACCAAACATTGTTAAAAGTAATAAGATTAGCAACTAAACTAATTAATTAATTAAGGCATGCATACGAGGTCTATGTCACACGTCCTAAACCTATATTCTTGTATCAGGTTGGTAATCTAAATCTATTCAAATCAATAATGTTGGTGGAGGTTAGAGCGTTCTCAACTGGGTGAGAATATAAACAAGAAGCACAAAATTTTTTTTTTCCTTCTACCAAAAAAAATTCTATATATTTAAAGTTTAAAATGAAATTATTTAAAAAATAAAAGAAAGAAAAAGAACTCCACTTGTGCAAGTGGTCATGTGTCAGCATCATATTGAAACTAATTAGCATCATCAGTATACTTAATTATTATTGGGTTAATTTGATCAAATTGTAGCTTTCAATAAGAACTTAAATAGATATTTATGAGGCTGCTGAAGTGTTACTGACTCGAGTTGCAGTCTGGATTTCTAAATAGGTCAATCTTCAAATTGTTAATAAATTTATGCAAAATCAAAATTATATGTGTGGTTTCAATTGATAATTAGACTGGATTGAGTAAGTTTATTCGTTATTATTTATTTGAATATCCTTATGAAATTGGATTTTATCAATATTATTGCTAATTAATTATTATTTGGTTCATTTATTAATTTCTCTCCATTTTAAACCCATGAATGATCCCAATCAATATTGTTTTTCTTATTTATTTATTCTTTTTTTGCAAATAGGAAAAAGAAAAAATAAAATAAAATGTGAATCAATTATTCTCCAGGTTGTCTTCTTGGTTATCTATGGATGCATAGAAGCCAGTGTTTCCTTTCTTCATGTCAAGACGGTCCATTCCACATCAGCCATGGTTAGAAATTAACAATCATCTCAAATAAATAAATAAATTAATAAATATTATGAATCTCACACGTAAATTGTAAAAACACCTTCATTATAGCAATTTACGAAATCCGAGTTTATTTGGGTTAAAAAAAGAAAAGATCCAAAAAAGAATTATTGGCCAACAAAATCAAAATCTGCTGACCACCTGACGAGCCGAACCAAATGTTGAAGAAGACATAAGTGGAGTGGGGGCCCATTGGGCCACAAAAGTGACAGCCATTTATAAACTTTACACCTAAGCATTTGAGAAATGAAATGTCGTCAATTATAATTTTCACCGCTGGTTTTTAATTTTTATTATTTTATTAAATTACAAAATGTTGTTTTCGGTTCCTACTTGTTTGGATTTCGGTCCCCTTTGGGAATCAGGAAAGCTACTTTCGGCTGACCTTTGTGATTGTAAAGAGCTCTTTTTCTTCCAAAATCTCTGCCCACAAATTTGTATCAATTTTTCTTATTGTTGTGCTAAATTTAGTTTTATAAAATTTAAATAGGAAATTAATTATTTTTTTCTAAGACTTGACGTTATACACTCGCCATCTATACTTTATAAAACGTCAATAATACCCTTGTCATGAATTTGAGTATATAATTGAAATAATTCATAAAAGAAATCTATAAACGACACCCTTCAACTCACTTTATAATCAAAATGCAATGGCAAACTTCAAAAGTGTCAGTTTTCCACCAATAATAAGCCAGCTATTTGACATTGTCCTGACACAATCAAGTAGTAGGGTTGATATTGTAATAAATAACAATAACAGTAATATAGTTGCACTATTGACAAATTGTTTTGGACATTATGGTTGAGAACAAGAATCTAAAGTTTAAGGCTAGGTAAAATGGAAAATAATTGAATAATGTTCACACCCATCACATATAATATGAGTCCTTCAAATTTATGATGTGGCCCCATCTATGTTAAGGGTACCCTAAACAAAAAATTGTCCCTTGTAGAAGTGGTGGGGGACTATAAAGGGTAATATAGGTGACCTTTAATGCTGGTTGGGTCCACATTGTGGGAATGACAAGTGGGAACATGTATTTCATAAAATCATTAAACACAACAGGGATTTGGTTTGTAGTTGGGTTCAGCATTTGATTAGTGGAATCCAATATCATAATTTCAGTCTAATCAAATGCATATTATAGTAATGATCCCAAAATTCGAATAGTATGAAATTGAATTAAAATGGTTTGAATTCTGCTATTTCAAACTAAATAAACTATTATTAAGAACTATCCCAAAATTGAAAAGAAAATTATTTTTTTCACCAAACTAATTTGTAAGTAAATTTTAAAAGATTTAATCGAATCCGATCAAAATAGATCAATTTAATTTGATTTTCGATTAAAAACCATTGTATTATGGTAGTTTTGGGGGTATCATTATCATTGTTATGAATCTTTAGTTGGAAATAAAACAAATTGACATTATATGCGGCAGCTCACAATCATTGTGCTCCTAATTCTACCTTTCAATCGAAATTTATATTTCAATTGATTTTGTTGTGTCCTATTTATGGGTCATCATAATACATAGTTTGAATTTAAGTTATTTATATAGTAGCAGAGATATAAACCTTTCAATTCTATAGGAATCTTCTTTTTTTACCCACAAAATTTATAAGTTATGTTACTGAACGGTACAATTAATAGATATAAAATTTTGAATTTATCAAAACACTAAAAACTGATTCAAAAACTATTACTTCGCAGCCGCCTTAATTGCATTAGCAAATATTTACACTACTTGGTTGCGGGCTCTTGTTATTCTCTTGACAGATTAGACCCAATAATAATTCCTATTCACACAAATGAACAATTACAATTCAATAAATATTTACAATGAAGTTCCAACGCAATTATCATGGTCTCGAATTGAACTTTATATAAGAAACAATTTGCCACCTACAAGTTGTAGCCAGTACGCAAAGGAAACTTTTCTGCATCGTCTATAAAAACAGAAACTTTTTAGTTTATATCCAGTTTTCCGATCGTCTACCAACAAAGGGAAAACTTTCCCTCCATTTGTAATCGACCTGGATCCATTGACGTGCATAGATTTATTGAAAACATAGCAGCAAAAAGCCATTTGTAGATGGGCCTTTCCAAAATTAGTTTTTATCAAGCCCAGCCCATAATCTGTGTCGAACGTCACTACAATTTGAAACCAAAATGAAAACAATGCACAGATTGCTCTGTCTATTGCTCAGTCAAAGTCAAACCGCCATTGTAGGATTTTTCTTTTGTCAATATTTCTATTCTATCCGTTTTTTCATACAGCGACAAGCATGGTTAATTTTAGTGGATAATCTCTATAAGATCAGAAGTTCTATATGGAGAGAAATGGATATTCTCTGCAAGATTGCTATAAGATTAATAATTCTGAGTTTGACTTCAAGGTCTGGTTTAAAAAGAATCCCTATTTCATTGCTTGACCTGATTTACAACTCTCTATAACCGAAAGATATAAAGGAGATTCTGGATTTTCAATTCTAAAATTCAAAACTAAATCAAAACCACTTTTGATCTTCACTTCCATTATTTAAAAACTGAAAACCAAATAGAAAACAGTAAAGAAACAAACGAACAAGAACAAAAACAAAAGCAAGAACATCAACAAACATCAGTATTCACACTTTTCTTTCATCTTCAATCATTAAAATGAGATTTCTGTTCTTTTCTTTGATCTTGGCCTTGCTAGCCAACTGTTCGCATTCCCGCCATTACGAAGATGCACAATCACCTGCAGAATCACCATCATCAGGTGTCGATTGTTCGATCATTATTTATGACATGGTGGATTGCTTACCTTATATGACTGGAAGCGGAGCTCCATTAGATGCTTCATGCTGCGCTGGTTTTGAATCTGTTCTCCATTTTAATACAAAATGTGTGTGTGAAGCACTAAAGACTAGTCTCGATATGAACTTAGACATTAATCTTACTAAAGCTTATGATTTGCCTAAAGATTGCAAGGTTTCTACTCCTCCTAGTCACTGTAACGGTATGTAAAGCTGATTTTTTTTCCTTTTCTGGGTTTCTTCCCGTCCAGTTTTACTGCATGTGTTCTTGTTCAAAATTATACTAATACTGTATTTATTATTATTATTATTTTCTGTATATACAGTCTCAACCATGCCTCCTTCACATGCAGCACCAGGTACATGCATAAACCTCTAAAAATATAATTAATTACATCACATTACACTCGTATCTGCTAAAAGTTTGACTCGTAGATTTCATGAATTTAATTACATTTAATTTTCGTTTCTGGGTACTGTTGGCTTTGTTTAATGCAGTTGGTCCTCCACAATCATCACCAAAGCTACCTCCAGCACCAATAGAAGCTCCAAAAGGATCAGTACGTCCACCCTCAGCTGAACGTGGATCAGCACCAACAAAACCTGATCTTGCAGCTCCAGCCCCATCTGGAGGAGCATATTCTATTTCTATCTCTTTGTTAGCCCTAATTAGCCAGCTTCTTGTTTCTTTCTCTTTTACCTTAGCTAATTAGGATAATAATTTTGCTTTCACACTAGTAATTTTCATTACTGTGTGATTATTAGCTTCTTTTTTGTCTTGCTTTGTTTTTTGTAAGACCTACTAATTAGTTTAATTATGATTTTTTTTCTATTAATTTAATTGAGTTGTTGAGGTATCTTTATTTTATTGTATTTTTTCTATTGAAAAATAAAATTCTTAGTTGGAGGATTATAAATTCTGGTTCTGAATTTAATTCATTCTCATATATATGTATACATGTGCCATTGATTTTTCTAGTAAGCCAGACAAATAAATGGGACGAAGATGCGAAATCAAACATCAATCTGTGGGAAATTTAATTTGCTCAATATAGAAGGAAGAGGCGAGAAATGTCAACAAGCTTAAAAATTAATAAGGAAAAAGAAATGTGAATAGACAAGAGGCAAGAAAAAATGTATCTTCATAGCATTTTTCAAATATATACATATAAATGGAATGCAGAGAGGTTATTTTTGCATGTTTCAATAGACAAAGTCTAATTGATGGTTTTGATTTTTAGAAATTGCCATTTACCATAACAGTTACGGCAGTTGTGAATCGTGACATTGGATCCTTCATTATCAGTATTCAGTACAACCAAAATCCCAATTAGATGCTTCTTTCTATCACATTACTTTAATTTTCGTGTGTGTGTGTATATATATTAGATTTATTCGGATTCTACATACAAATGGCATGTTATGTCACTGTCTCGTAAGTGTAAATGTTTTTCATCTTTATATTTTAGTATTATTGAAATTTAATTAGAATCAAAGTTTCAAAAATCTGTATGGTGTAAAGGGAATTGTAAAAAATGTACTATGTCATTTAAGAAAATCATTAAATTTGTTTAAGTTATAATAAATTATTGAGTAAAATAATTATATTACCCTTAATTTAATAGTAATTTTCTAAGAAAATTATTAAATTGAATTTTAGGAAATGCCATTTACCGATAAGCACGTTACGGCAGTTTGTGAATCGGACATTGGATCCTTCATTATCAGTATTCGAGTACAACCAAAAATTCCAATTAGATGCTTCTTTTCTATCACATTACTTTAATTTTCGTGTGGCTCGTGTACATATATAGATTTATTGCGGATTCTACATTTACAAAATGCAAGTATGGCACTGTCTCGTAAGTGTAAATGGTTTTCATCTTTATATTTTAGTATTATTGAAATTTAGGATTTAGAATCAAAAGTTTCCAAAAATCTGTTATGGTGTTTAAAGGGAATTGTTAAAAAAATGTACATGTCATTAACGAAAAATCATTAATATTTGTTTAAGTTATAATAAATTATTGAAGTAAAAATTTTTGTTTAAGTTATAATAAATTATTGAGTAAAATAATTATATTACCCTTAATTTAATAGTAATTTTCTAAGAAAATTATTAAATTGAAGTAATGATGATTGGTCATGTATAAAGAGTAAATATGGAAAAAAAATATTTTTTACTTTTTAAAACCATAAATGTAATAAGTATTTTGGAATAAACTATTTTCTATAAGTATTATGGAACATTAAGAAATAATTTAAAATCCATAAAAAGTACACTAAATTTTAGATTTATTGAATTTTAAAATAAATTATTTTTTTAATATCATTGATAAACATTGATGGAGTTGAATCTCATTAATAAACGTAAGAACATTATTAATTTTTTATACCATCTAATAAAAATTTATAATGTCATTAACACGTTAACGTTTTACTTTCTTTCATTAACAAGTAATAAATGTTTTACTTCCCTTTTTTTAATAATTAATGAAATTAAAGATATCATTAATATTATTTTACAGTAACAAATAAAATAACAATGTCATTAACATCTATTATTAATATTTTTTTTAATTTTTTCTATTTTAAAAAAAATTTACTATATATAAAAATTTATATATCTATATCTATTATACTTTTTCATATCCATTTTTAAAAATTTTTGATTGATTTACAATTTATTTTTCTTTTAATTTAGACATTGATGAAGTTTAAGTTAATTCTTAAAAAAAAAAAAAAAAGGAAGTTTGATTTTTTTTTTTTTTTTTTTTTTTTTTTGGTTTTTTTTTTTTTTTTTTTGAGTATTAGGGGATAGAGATTTGAACCCGAATCTTTTGTCAGGTCATATATGTACTTACCACTAAATTATATCTTGGTGTGCAAAAAAAAGGGAAATTAATGATATTCTTCAGTTTTTTAATACTTAAAAAATGAATAATTTCATCAACACTCTTTCAATGCGATAAAGGTTTCAAATTTTTTTTAAAATAATTAATAAAATTAATAATATCATTAATATTTTTTACTGTTTCAATAAATATTCTCATTAATATTTTTAAATAATAATAAAAAATTATATATCTGTTCAGTAATATAATATATGGCAAAAATTTTGCTTTCTAAAAATCAATATATGGATTCTCAGAAGGGGAAAAAATAATCAATAAAGGGTTAATGCATAAATCAAGGAATTTGAATAAGCAAACAAACTTGTAAAGGGACAAAAATCAAAATTTGTAGGCACAAAGTACACTTCTCCCAAATCACTAAATTTGGGTAACAGTAAAAATTATTTATTTTTCTTGATATAAATGTATTTATAAAGACTATTATTTAGTCTGTTTAGAACTCTTTTAACATTATAAAACAAAACATTTTCAAAAACATTATTAAAAAAAAAAAAAACATTATATTGTAAAAACGCTATAGGTATTAGGTAGGCAGGAGATATTACTATGGTGGTTTTCTCACAATTATTGCTTGGCACAAACTGTATTCCATGGAGTTATAATTATATATCTAACAGAGGAACAACTACCCACAAGACTCATGTATTCCCTTTTTTTTCTTTCTTTTTATTTGGATTAAACTGCTATTTTTACTAATTTTTTCTGTTAATTTGTTTAGTATTGCCCGAGAAGCAAGCTATTACAGCGAGCGGCTAGAGCTGTAGGGAGCCAAGGCTCCCGGCAGAGCAGAGCAGACGCCCGCTGTGTTTCAAACAGTGTAATTGGTTTTTTTTTTTTTTTCTTTTGTTCTTCCTATACCTTGCATATAATATTTATTATTTACACTCGACTAATTTATTTTTAAAGTAGTTGTAAGGGTATAGGGTGTTAGTTGGACTTTAATTTAGCCATACGTCTTTAGTGGTGAAGACGACGTTAGATATGCATTCATTCGAACACTTCATGTATTTCAAGCCATACATTTTATTAACACACTCAACAAACTATATATTCTTATATATATATATATGATATATATATTATATATAAAAGATTTATACATGTGAAAGGCTAAAAAAAATACATGCGAACATGAATTTGCATACGTGGTAGGTAGAATGATTGGTTCAAATCAAAGACCTCAAATCCCCCTTTAATGGCCTTCTTGTAATTGTTTGTTGGGAATTCAATATGCAAAAAGCAGCCACTTTTATAATAATCACCTATTGTTATTTGTTCAATGATCGATTAATTGTATGTTAAATTCTAATTGATCCTTAAAATTAGTTGACACTGCATTTTTCTTTTTTAAATAATAAAAGCATTTGACCAAAGCATGTTAATTATGTTTGACTTATTTTTAAGATTTAGTCAACACATATTTTTCCTTCTCTTTGTCTCTTTGTTTTTCTTTTCTTTGGAGATTTTAACATCTAAGGGTATATAGTTTCACATTATTTACTACTATAAAATTATGATGCAATTGTTTCATTTCTTTTTATTTTTAGGAATATAAAAGATATGAAACAAAATGAAAAGTAAAGCTTGCAATGTGAGTGGACAAGGTGAGAAGAGGAAAAGTCAAATGTCTTTTTTCTCCTCTTTTGTTTTATGTATTTTTCTTGTAGAAAAGGGTAAGAGAGATAAAAACATATCATTCATGCATTATTAGAAGAAGATGTGAAACTTAGAAATGAAAAAGTAAACAATTATTAATTATATGCACTTGCTTTGCTTATTTTGTTAATTAGTCTCTTAACCCTGCATTATTGAACACATAAAATGAATTATTGATGTCCATAAAATGTGAAGACTATCAATTAGAGCTCAAAATATTAAATATCTCAAAAGGGTTTTTTTTTTTTTTTATTTTTTTCCCCCAACACACCACATATATATATATATATATATATATTATTTTTTTCCCCAAACACACCACACTATTTAATATTATTATATTATATATAACCAAAAAAGAAAATATATATATATATATATATATATAACCAAAAAAGAAAAAAGAAAAAAGAAAAAAAAAACCATTAATAGTAACAAGAGAAAGAAGTGAGGATAGCATGGATACACCTAACCTCCAACCATAACCAAACCGCTCCATGCAAATATTAATAGTCCAATTCCAAATGTCACCAATCAAAAACCTTCACCTACACATCTTATCCCATTCAATAGATGTTAAATGATTTATTGACCATTCTTTCCTTATATAAAATGAAAAAGACTAGAGAAAAAAAAAGTAGACATTTTAATTTAAGAAAAAAGAAAATTAGTACTACATTTGAAGGGTTGGTCGACAACTACACCATCCAAAAACATCATCAAGACACATGTACTCTCTCACCTGTCGTACTAACCTGTAGAAAATTTTGCTTCTTTTACGTAGCCATGTAACCATTTTGCTATCTTGGTTAAATTTTCTTTAACTTCCTTTCTTTATAGCTCACCAGAAAAGAAAGATGGTAAAAATGAAAAATAAACATTTTTTTTATGCATTTAAAGTATTTATTTTAATTTTTTTTTAACAAATTGTTAAAAAATAAAATAAAATAATATTATATATTCAACATTTTCAAATTTGTTTGTTATGTGTTGAATTTGGACCGAGGGGGAGAGAGAGAGGGAGAGAGGGGGACTGAGAGATGGGGGTAGATGGGAACTACTACTGGTTCATTTGTAGAAAGAGGAGAAGAAGGAGGGTGCGGTGAGGCGTGGCGGGGGCAGGTACCACGTGCAGAGCCTCATTAAAAGCCGTTAAAACTTGAAGGCCCACCTCCCTAACTCAAACCTAACACTCTGCAATTCCTTAAAACTAGTTAATTCTTAAAACGGACATACACAATTGCATTTCAAGATTGTGAGTGAATGCACATGTTCAAACATAACTCTCCCACCACAGTATACAACATTCTTTTTTTCGGTTTCTGCTTGGTGCTTTATTTCTTGGACTCTTTTTCTCTAGATTTGAACTAAATGCTTTATTACCCATATACCCAATTGATTTCAATTTGATCCCAGCTGCTAATATTTCAGCTTTTCTCCAGGTTTGTTATGATTTTGGATTCTATTTTCAATTGGGTTTTCTTTAAATTTTGCTAATGCTTTTGGTGTTTGAAGTATCGGGATAGTATTGTTTTTAGCAGCATAGTGATGGGAAGTTTCTATGCTGTTCTTTTTATGGGTGGTTTTTAAATTTTTATTGATCAAATTTTAGTTATGGATTTGGGAATCTAATTGTGCTCTTTTGTGGGGGCGAATGACTATTTTATGTTATTGGGCACTTTTTCATCGTTATCATCAATATCCTAGGATTCTGCACCTGAGATACTTTGACTTTTAAACTGTGTTTGGTTTCTTATAACTTAAGTTGGAATATACTAATGAATTGGGGTTCGGTTTTAGTGATTTAACTCTGATTATCAAACAACTACACGATCAAGTCTAGAGTTTATAGTCCCAGGAAGTAAAGAAGTCTACATCAATTCCCTTATTTGCAAATAAAGTTGTTAAATTGTTCTGTCAACTTTTGCTCACGAACTATGAACAAATGATATTACTAAGGAAGGCCTACCCGAAAAGTAAAACTGTATTTAAGTATAAGAAAACGATTGACGTTGAGAATGATTTAATTTGAAGACTCAATTTTGGTAACAAAAGTCCTATCTATGCAGCATGTTGGAAGCACAAAGGAGACCACCGGAACCGGTGGGTGTTGCTCGTGGTAATGGTTACATAAATGGGGTAGTTTCAATGAGAAGTCCTGCTACAATATCTGAAGTGGATGAATTCTGCCATGCTCTTGGAGGGAATAGTCCAATTCATAGTATTTTAATAGCAAACAATGGAATGGCAGCTGTCAAGTTTATGCGTAGTATTAGAACATGGGCTTATGAAACATTTGGCAATGAGAAGGCAATCTTGTTGGTGGCCATGGCAACTCCGGAAGACATGAAAATCAATGCAGAGCATATTAGAATTGCTGATCAATTTGTAGAAGTTCCTGGTGGGACAAACAATAATAACTATGCCAATGTGCAGCTGATCTTAGAGGTTTGTACATTAAACACTAACATTTTTATGCATATCAGAATTCTTTTATTTTTTGAGTTTAAAGTATGTAAATCAAAGTATAAGTTGTCACTAAATTCTGTCAGGGACTTCTTTCAGGAAGAACTTTATTTATATTATTGGTTATCAATTGCTCTGGTTGAAATTGATGAATTCTGATGTGATTTACGTAAAAAAGGATGAAAGAAACTTGAAATTATCAATGAAATGTATGCTAGAAATTAGTTGTATGTAGGATATTCTGGAACCTTTTGTAGTCCTTTCTTCTGGTTGAAATTCATGAATCTTGTGATTGACACAAAAAAGGACGAAATGTACTTGAAATTGCCAACGAAGTGTATACTAGAACGAGCAGTGTGGAGTGCATTCTGGGACCTTTTGGAGTCCTTTCTTCTGGTATCTCAAAGTATCACGCTGATGAATTAGCAGCCATCTAGCAGTTTGCAAGATATTATTGTTACTTGTTTACTTTAGAGCATTCTACCTAATTCTGGTATGTTTGATAATATGAATCAGTTAAATGTGAAAGATGAACTCTTCTGTCCTTATTTGTTTTTAATAACTAAACTGTAATTCTGATTATCAGATGGCAGAAGGAACTCGTGTTGATGCCGTTTGGCCTGGTTGGGGCCATGCATCTGAGAACCCTGAGCTGCCAGATGCACTGAGTGCAAAAGGTATCGTATTTCTTGGGCCCCCAGCTACATCTATGGCTGCACTGGGTGATAAAATCGGCTCATCTTTGATTGCTCAAGCAGCAGATGTCCCTACTCTTCCATGGAGTGGCTCTCATGTAAGTATCTTGCTCAAAATGTGATTTAATGTTGTAGGGTCATTTCACATCTGAGGTGTTTATTTCTGTCTTCCAGGTGAAAATTCCTCCAGAAAGTTGTTTGATTGCCATCCCAGATGAGGTATACAGAGAAGCATGTGTATATACAACAGAGGAAGCGATTGCAAGTTGTCAAGTTGTTGGTTACCCTGCAATGATCAAGGCATCATGGGGTGGTGGTGGTAAAGGCATAAGAAAGGTTCAGCTTCTACGTGACAAAGTTTTGAATTTTTAACTAGGAAGGATTTAATATTGGAATATTGCAAACCAACTTTTTGTGTTTTCTTTTGGATTCTCTAGGTTCATAATGATGATGAAGTCAGGGCATTGTTCAAGCAAGTTCAAGGTGAAGTTCCAGGATCACCCATATTTATAATGAAGGTTGCTTCCCAGGTTAGATTATCTTCTGCCCGTTAATTTGAGCGGAGAGCTTTATCATTATGATTCCACTATTATAGGCTTGATTCTGACAATCCATTTGATTTTCTCATTTAGAGTCGACATTTGGAAGTCCAGTTACTCTGTGATCAGCATGGGAATGTAGCTGCTTTGCACAGCCGTGATTGCAGTGTTCAGAGGCGGCACCAAAAGGTAAGTTAGTTGCTGATAGCTAATTTTTGATTTGGTTTACAAAGTTATTAGTTTCTTATTTTATTTTCAAAATTGATTAAGTATGTCATTTCTTCCCCAAGATTAATGGTATAGTGTGTGATATCTGAGGAACATTTGCCTAACAAGACCTGACTTGCTCATACATGTTACATAGATAATTGAGGAGGGTCCAATTACTGTTGCGCCTCTGGAGACAGTCAAAAAGCTAGAACAAGCAGCTCGAAGGTTAGCGAAAAGTGTGAATTATGTTGGAGCAGCTACTGTTGAGTATTTGTACAGTATGGAAACTGGAGAATACTACTTTTTAGAACTCAATCCTCGGTTACAGGTAAGTGAAACTATTTTGAACCTTAGTTTTAGTTAATGTGCTACTTGTCAGGCTGCTATTCATGCATTCTCTCAATTTTTCTTGCATATTTAATGCTGTTGCTCTATGTTTTAATGTATAGTGGATAAATGGATATGGCAGTATGCTGTGCTCTATCTGGTAGCTAGGAGATTTTTTTATTTGATGATGACAATTACAATAATTTTTTTAAAAGTTTTTATCTATTTTGGTGATGATAAATCCATGATGATAATGAAAAATGTTAATATGATACTCCTTAGGCTGCTATTTCATGCATTCTCTCCATGACTCTTGCATATTTAATGCTGTTGCACTATGTTTTAATCTGTGGTGGACAAATGGATATGGTCGCATACTGTGCTATCTGGTAGCTAGGAAGTAAACATTTTTCTATTTGATGATGACAATTACAGTGACCTTTTTTTTTTTTTACAAAGTTCTTATCTATTTTGGTGATGATAAGTCCACGGTGATAATGAAAAATGTTGCAAGGAGGCAAATCACACAAAAGAGTGGTTTCTCACCTCATTTTCCTTAACTTCCAATTCTATCTTAGTCATTAATGAGTTGCCAATCCATTGTTTCATATTCTTTTTCTTTTTAGTATATTTTTCTAAGACTTAATTAATTTTGATGTAGGTGGAGCACCCAGTGACTGAGTGGATTGCTGAAGTAAATTTGCCAGCTGCCCAGGTAGCTGTTGGGATGGGAATTCCTCTCTGGCAAATTCCTGGTATGGCATAAAAAAGATTTTGAAATTTGAAATTAGCTGTCATTAGTCATGGGGCATATGTTTTTCTGATAATATGTGTCAATTTCCTTTGTTTAATTAGAGATAAGGCGATTTTATGGAGTGGAAAATGGTGGAGGATATGATGCTTGGAGGAAAACTTCAGTGGTTGCTACTCCTTTTGATTTTGACAAGGCTGAGTCTACTAGGCCAAAAGGCCATTGTGTGGCTGTGCGTGTGACAAGTGAGGATCCAGATGATGGTTTTAAGCCTACAAGTGGAAAAGTACAGGTACGGCTTTCAGGTCTAGAATTCTTATTTGAAAGTTTTCTTCTCCTTATAATGAATCTATATTGAAATTGCTTTGTACAGGAGCTAAGTTTTAAAAGCAAGCCAAATGTGTGGGCTTATTTCTCTGTTAAGGTGCTTTTTCTATTTTCCCTTGGTTTCTTTTCCCAAAAAATAATTTTCTGTCAGCAGAACCTTGGATTTCTAAGATTAATTGCTTAAGTTCTGGTGCACAGTCTGGTGGAGGCATTCATGAATTCTCAGATTCTCAATTTGGTAAGTCGCAGCCACCTTCTTTTTTAAATTTGTTGCACTAATTGAAATTGATACATTTAGTGCAACCTGATGAGAAGCATCCTTTTTTCCTATCTTTTGTAATTTGAGTTGTTTGATAATCACAATAGTAAATTTAAACTAACACTGTATGATTGCTTTTTTTGATTGCCAAAATGGTTTAGCTATCCGTCTTTCTGTGTGTTGAAAGTGAAGGAAAAATTATTGTTTTAATGCTATTTGTGTTTGGAAAATGTCTACCTTATCCGGGTCCATAGTTATTTGTTGAGAGCTGTGTGCTTTAACTATTAGCAGCAAGTTGATAGCATTGATGAAACCATGAGAATTTGACTCTTTCAGTTAAGTGAAAGGTTATGCTTCTGCTGACTCCAACATATGCAGTACACATCCCTTCTTGAACAGCATTTAACTCTGCATAGGACCTTATGGCAGGAGAAGATTTAAAAATTTTTTGATGCTGTATAGAATCACCCGCAGATTGATCAATATCCTCTTTAATCTATGAGTGAGCACTGTTATTGGATTAGTTTTCCAATCATTTACATATTGCTAACCTTCATATTTTCTATTTATAAATGTTTTTTCTGACAATGATTCATGTCAACATTCTTTAACCTATAACAGTGGATGTTTTCCATCAAGTTTTCTGTAGATGTATCTTTGAATGTAATTCTTTTGTTGTGATGATCTATGCTGCTCAAGTTTGTTATGATCTTTTCTTAGGACATGTTTTTGCTTTTGGGGAATCCAGAGCTTTGGCTATAGCAAATATGGTCCTTGGGCTGAAAGAAATTCAAATTCGAGGAGAAATTCGGACTAATGTTGACTACTCAATTGATCTTTTACACGTAATAATCCATTTCTGGTTACCTTCTTTTTTCACATATTAAGAGAGAAAATTAAAAAGATCCCTCGGGAACAAAAATTAACCTGAGATGAAATGTGTTATCCAGGCTTCTGACTATAGGGACAACAAAATCCACACAGGTTGGTTGGACAGTAGAATTGCAATGCGGGTTAGAGCAGAAAGGCCCCCTTGGTACCTCTCTGTTGTTGGAGGGGCTTTATACGTAAGTAGTCATGCATTGGTGAAAGAGGAATAGTTTCCTTTTATTCTGCTATATTCTATTCTACAGAATTCACCACTTATGGTTCCTGTTTTGTTTGCCTCAGAAAGCATCTGCTAGCAGTGCAGCTATGGTTTCAGATTATGTTGGTTACCTTGAAAAGGGGCAAATCCCTCCTAAGGTACTTAATGAAGAATTCATTTTTATGAAAATTTATTGTGTATTCAGATGGTTTTTAGTAACATTGATGTCAATTAATTCTGATTTCAGCACATATCACTTGTTAACTCTCAAGTTTCATTGAACATTGAAGGAAGCAAATACGTGGTATGAATACCTATCAGTATGATTATTCCCTTCTGAAATGTCAAATTTTCTGTGTATGTTTTTATAATCTAGAAGAGCTGGTTCATAGGCTTTGATAATACATGCCATTAACACTTTGAAAAATTAATCCTAGATAAACATGGTTAGAGGGGGGCCAGGAAGCTATAGATTGAGAATGAATGAATCAGAGATTGAAGCAGAGATACATACTTTACGTGATGGAGGTTTATTGATGCAGGCAAGCATTTATTTCTCCATAATACTTTTGTTATTAATTCTTCATGGATGTTCAGCACTTGTGTTATGTTGCTTTATGATTGGCATCTTTTTTTTTTTTTTTTTTTTGCAGAGAATACAGACTTTACCGTGATGCGAGGTTTATCTGCGATATGCAGGCAGCATCTACTATTTCTCATTAATACTTTTAGTTCATTAATTCTTATGGCAATGTTTCAGCACTTGTTGTTATGTTGCTTTAGATGATTGGCAGTCTTTTTTATTTGTTTTTTTTTTTCACTTTTTTTTTTTTTTTTTTTTCACTATTATTCTTCTTCCTCTTCTTTCATGACCTTATTTCTGGACTTGATAATGGAATCTGTTACTTTTATTTTGTTACAGTTGGATGGAAACAGTCATGTGATATATGCAGAAGAAGAAGCAGCTGGAACTCGTCTTCTTATTGATGGAAGGACTTGCTTGCTGCAGAATGATCACGATCCTTCAAAGTTAGTGGCAGAAACGCCATGCAAGCTGCTGAGGTTTTTGGTTTTGGATGGTAGTCATATTGAAGCTGATACTCCATATGCGGAGGTTGAAGTTATGAAGATGTGCATGCCTCTCCTTTCACCTGCTTCTGGAGTTCTTCAGTTTAAAATGTCTGAAGGTCAAGCAATGCAGGTATATCAAATTTCACAGGATATATATATACTTACAGAGTTTTAGTATGAAGTTAAAGAATCTGTTTTCCTCTTAGGCTGGTGAGCTTATAGCACGGCTTGACCTTGATGATCCTTCGGCTGTACGAAAGGCTGAACTTTTTCATGGGAGCTTCCCAATACTGGGGCCACCAACTGCTATTTCTGGTAAAGTTCATCAGAGATGTGCTGCAAGTCTGAATGCAGCTTGCATGATTCTTGCTGGCTATGAACACAATATTGATGAAGTAAGTATTCTCCTGTGTCCTATGGATACTATAGAGTTTAAAATCCTTATCATGAATCAATAGTATGCTCTTACCTTTTGTTGCTGTGTGCATGGACTTTAAAGATGTTGCAAAAATTGTTTTTCTGTTATATTAACAACTATTTGTTGGAAACTAATGTTCTATCTGAACAATTTTGATAGGTAGTACAAAACTTGCTAAACTGTCTAGACAGTCCTGAACTACCTTTCCTTCAGTGGCAAGAGTGCTTGTCTGTTCTGGCAACTCGCCTTCCCAAAGATCTTAGAAATGAGGTGAATGTTTATCATGTCTTTGATCTCTTCTTTTGTGACCATAAAGTGGCTTTAGGCTTACAATATGATCTGATGTTGCCTTGGCCCAAACATTACAGTTGGAATCAAAATACAGGGGGTTTGAAGGGATTTCGAGCTCCCAGAATGTTGACTTCCCTGCCAAATTGTTAAGGGGTGTTCTTGAGGTGTGTTCCTTAATTTGAAACCCTTTTCTCACTTTTCTTGAAGTGTAAATTGTATGTAATATGCACTAGCTGTTTGCATTTTCTCCAGGCCCATCTATCCTCCTGTCCTGAAAAAGAAAAAGGTGCACAAGAAAGGCTTGTTGAACCTTTGATGAGTCTTGTAAAGTCTTATGAGGGAGGACGGGAGAGTCATGCCCGTGTCATTGTTCAGTCACTTTTTGACGAGTATTTATCTGTTGAAGAATTGTTCAGTGATAACATCCAGGTAAGCATGCATGCATCAAATATATCAATGGGTGTTGTAATGCCAGTATCTCATTATAATTATTTGGGATTGACAAACTTTTTTCTAATTTTTTGTCGATTGGAGATACCATAGTATTAAAGCATGACATTGAATGTTATTTTCTTGGCTTTTAGTGGTGGCCTTTCCTTTTATTTGCTTGTATGAACCTGTAATTCTTCTGTATTTAAATGCCTTTGTTGATGGCTTCTGTTGAATATGCTAATTAAATGGACAATAGAATATACATTTAAATAATGAAATATTCATTCTTTACTACAATTATATGATGAACATTTCTCATACTTTGTCTGTACTTTATTTTGTCTTCTTAAACTGCGGATAAGATTCGGGGCCATAAAATTTCAATTTCCTTTGATGAATGGTTGAACCAAGCTTTGTCTTGAGCCCTGTATATTTTAGTCACAGTTCGATAATTTTTTACTTTCAGGCTAAAATTAATAGGAATTTGGTGGATGACTCCACAATTTGTTACTACATTAGAGCGGCTCATCACTTTCTAATTTTATATTTTATATTTTTTATTTAGGCTGATGTGATTGAACGTCTTAGACTCCAATACAAGAAAGATCTGTTGAAGGTTGTTGACATTGTCCTTTCTCATCAGGTATCAAATTTATAATTGTGCCCTTTCTTTCTTTTTTTTTTTTTTTTTTTTTGAGTTGAACCGTCTTCGACTCCAATACAGATAAGATGTTGAAGGGTTTGTTGACATTGTTTCCTTTTCTCATCAGAGTATTCAAATTCTATACATTGTTGCGCCTTTTCTTTCTTTTTTTTATTTTTTTTTTTGTTTCAAATTCGATTTTTTTTTTTTTTTTTTTTTTTTTTCAAATTCGATTTTTGATGTTTACATTTATGCATTATATACTGTGTCGTTCTCTTATAGGGTGTGAGGAGTAAAAATAAGCTGATATTGCGGCTTATGGAACAATTGGTTTATCCTAACCCTGCTGCATATAGGGATAAACTGATCCGCTTCTCTCAACTTAACCATACAAGTTATTCTGAGGTTGGTTCTTACACTTGATGAAGTTGTACTTAACATGATCTATGTTTCTTTTTTGACTATCAAATCATTTTAATTTTGTACTGTTTGTTGCAGGGTTGCAACAAAAACAGTATTCTAATGTTTTCCCTTTAAGGATTATTTCTTCTGTCTCACTTTTTTTGTGGTCATTGGTTAATGCGATTTCTCAATTCAATATCATTATCAGTAAGTTTGTTTTTCAAAATCTTCATACCTGATTTGCATATGCAGTTGGCACTGAAGGCAAGTCAACTGCTAGAACAAACCAAACTAAGTGAACTTCGTTCCATCATTGCTAGAAGCCTCTCTGAATTGGAGATGTTTACTGAGGATGGTGAAAATATGGATACTCCTAAGAGGAAAAGTGCCATTAATGAACGAATGGAGGATCTAGTGAGCGCTCCTTTGGCTGTTGAGGATGCTCTTGTGGGGCTGTTTGATCACAGTGATCACACTCTTCAGAGGCGGGTGGTGGAAACCTATGTTCGAAGGCTATACCAGGTACCATATTTTGAACTCTTAAAGGTTTTCTCGATTAAAATTTTACACAATCATTTCTTTAAATTAACTGTTTGTATATGTTATCAGCCATATCTTGTAAAGGAGAGTGTCAGGATGCAGTGGCATAGATCTGGTCTGATTGCTTCATGGGAGTTCTTGGAAGAACATATTGGAAGAAAGAATGGCTATGAAGATCAAATGTCTGATGAACCAGTAATGGAGAAACACTGTGACAGGAAATGGGGAGCCATGGTTATTATCAAATCTCTACAGTTTTTACCTGCAATTATTAGTGCTGCACTAAGAGAAACGACCCACAATCTTCATGAAGCCATTCCAAATAGATCTACAGAACTAGCTAACTTTGGTAATATGATGCATATTGCTTTGGTGGGCATCAACAACCAGATGAGTCTACTTCAGGATAGGTACTTCCCTCCACTACTATGTAATAACTATTTCTATTAAACCTTGAACATATTGATTTGCACAGCCTGTTAGTAACAATATATTCAGGATCCTATGACTTACAGCTTTTTTTAATAATTTGGAAGCTGTTAAAATTCAGATGATTTGACTATATTTGTAAAAAATTAATGATAGATTTTCAAGAGAATTAAACAATTACACCTTAACACGGACACACACATACAGGAACTTTTTCCAGACCATCAAACTTCTAGTAAAACATCAATATGACCTTGTCCCTTTCTTACTCATGATGTCCTTTTGCAGTGGTGATGAGGATCAGGCTCAAGAGAGAATTAAAAAGTTAGCAAAAATTCTTAAAGAACAAGAAGTAGGCTCCAGTTTGCGCACCGCAGGTGTTGAAGTTATTAGCTGCATCATACAAAGGGATGAAGGAAGGGCCCCTATGAGACACTCCTTTCACTGGTCAGAAGAAAAGCTCTACTATGAGGAAGAACCTCTATTGCGACATCTAGAACCTCCACTGTCCATCTATCTAGAATTGGTTTGTTTCTATACATCTGTTCCCAACTATTTTGTTTTAGGGGGAAAAAAGTAAAGCAGAGAGAAACTTTACATACTTTGATTTGAAGCTTATAGCTATCTGTTTTTGTCCAGGATAAACTTAAAAGTTATGGGAACATACAGTACACTCCATCACGGGACAGACAGTGGCACTTGTACACTGTTGTAGACAAGCCAGTGTCAATCCAGAGGATGTTTCTTAGAACCCTTGTGAGGCAACCTACAACAAATGAAGTGTTCACCGCATGTCAAGGACTGGGCATGGAAGCACCTCAAGCACAATGGACTATGTCCTTTACTTCAAGAAGCATTTTGAGGTCCTTAGTGGCTGCGATGGAGGAGTTGGAACTTAATATGCATAATGCTACTGTCAAATCTGACCATGCTCATATGTATCTCTGTATTTTGCGGGAGCAACAAATAGATGATCTTGTGCCATACCCCAAGTAATTGTTTTAACTTCTGTTCTCTTTCATGTGATAAGCTGGTGAATTTCTGTTATAGGTTCTGATGCTCTATGGTTATCATCAGGAGAGTTGATATTGAGGCTGGCCAGGAAGAAGTTGCAATTGGCCGAATCTTGGAAGAACTGGCTAGGGAAATACATGCATCCGTTGGTGTGAAAATGCATAGGTTAAATGTTTGTGAATGGGAAGTGAAGCTCTGGATGACATCATGTGGACAGGCAAATGGTGCTTGGCGAGTTGTTATCACTAATGTAACTGGTCACACCTGTGCTGTACATGTAAGTATATGCCATCTCATACACGCTCAAGAAAACTTCTTTCATCCATCCATGCATTTAGATTTTGATTTTTGATGCATGAAGAGGAGGTATTTCATCCATTCATGCATTATTCTATCCAGATCTATAACTGATTTAAATAAATGGAGAATTAAAGGAAAAATAATTTTGACGTCAGTTTGAATGGTTTGGAAATTTATGCAAGTATAGCATGGAAAACTTTTCTTGCTGTTGTAAGCAAGCAATTTCATGTGTAATACAAGTGCATGTGAGATGTGAAATTACCATCTCGGAAATTTAGATGGAAAAAATATAATATATTGTTCTGGTTCCTGCACTAGTTTAAACTTTTTTATACGGAAAGGATCAGACTTAGAATTACTTGGAGGGAAGTGGTGAGGAAAATCTGCAGTTTTTGGAGATTGACAAAGATTTAGCAATGAACAGAACAGAATGGAGATAGAAAATTTATATAGCTGACCCATTCTAGGCTCGGCATGAGGCTTTTTTTTGGTACTTTTTGTCTTTTGCTTGTATATTACTTATCTTTAAAAAATCTCCCTTTTAAATTCTTTTTCTGCAAAAGTATCTCAAAATTGTTTTTCGGTTTACACTTACCATTGCTATTTATTTAGAGAGGTATTGGTAACAGAGGATTCATATAGTCAATCAACTAGTTTGGAACTAAAGCTTAGTTGTTGTTGTTGGAAAGTTCAGATCATTTTCTAATGTTCTGGTTAATATGCAATCAGACATACCGGGAACTAGAGGATGCCAGCAAACATGGAGTGGTGTACCATTCAGTCTCTGTACAGGGTCCTCTGCATGGTGTATTGGTAAATGCAGTTTATCAGTCCTTGGGAGTTCTTGATCGAAAACGTCTTTTGGCAAGGAGAAGCAACACCACATACTGCTACGATTTTCCACTGGTCAGTCTTTTGATATTTACTTATAACATAGTTCGTAAATTAATTTTTTCTTGATCCAAATTATGTTGCTGAATATGTAATACTTTCAGGCATTTGAGACAGCCTTGGAACAAATATGGGCATCCCAGTTTACTGGAACTGGAAAACTGAAGTGTAATGTTCTTGTCAAAGCCACAGAGCTTGTATTTTCTGATCAGAAAGGCAGCTGGGGTACTCCTCTTGTTCCTGTGGATCGCCCAGCTGGGCTCAATGACATTGGCATGATAGCATGGACCATGGAATTGTCTACCCCTGAGTTTCCTTCTGGAAGGACAATTTTGATAGTAGCAAATGATGTCACCTTCAAAGCTGGGTCTTTTGGCCCAAGAGAGGATGCATTCTTCTATGCTGTAACTGATCTTGCTTGCACAAAAAAGCTTCCATTAATTTATTTGGCAGCAAATTCTGGTGCCCGAATTGGGGTTGCCGAGGAAGTGAAATCCTGTTTTAAAGTTGGTTGGTCAGATGAAACATCCCCTGAGCGGGGTTTTCAATATGTATATTTGAGTCCTGAAGATTACACTCACATTGCATCATCTGTCATAGCACATGAGTTGAAGCTATCTAATGGAGAAACCAGATGGGTGATAGATGCCATTGTTGGAAAGGAGGATGGCTTGGGGGTAGAGAACTTATCTGGAAGTGGGGCCATTGCTAGTGCATATTCTAGGGCATACAAAGAAACTTTTACCTTAACATATGTCACAGGTAGAACAGTGGGAATTGGAGCTTACCTAGCTCGGCTTGGGATGCGATGCATACAAAGGGTTGATCAGCCCATTATTTTGACTGGTTTCTCTGCATTGAACAAACTTCTTGGTCGTGAGGTGTACAGCTCTCACATGCAACTTGGTGGACCCAAAGTTATGGCAACCAATGGAGTAGTTCATCTTACTGTCTCAGATGATCTAGAAGGTGTATCTGCTATCTTGAACTGGCTAAGTTGTATCCCTCCTTGTATTGGTGGCACACTTCCAATTTTAGGTCCTTCGGATCCTACTGAAAGGCCTGTGGAGTATTTCCCAGAAAACTCATGTGATCCACGTGCTGCTATTTCTGGTTCTTTGGATGGTAATGGGAAGTGGCTTGGGGGCATTTTTGACAAGAATAGTTTTGTTGAGACACTGGAAGGCTGGGCAAGGACAGTTGTGACAGGAAGGGCAAAGCTCGGAGGAATCCCTGTTGGAGTAATAGCTGTTGAAACTCAAACTGTGATGCAGGTGATTCCTGCTGACCCAGGACAGCTCGATTCTCATGAGAGGGTTGTTCCTCAGGCTGGCCAAGTATGGTTTCCAGATTCTGCAACCAAAACAGCTCAAGCTATATTGGATTTCAACAGAGAAGAACTTCCACTTTTCATTCTTGCTAATTGGAGGGGCTTTTCAGGTGGACAAAGGGATCTTTTTGAAGGTATCCTCCAGGCAGGTTCAACAATAGTTGAGAATCTTAGGACATACAACCAACCTGTTTTTGTATACATCCCCATGATGGGTGAACTTCGTGGTGGGGCATGGGTTGTGGTGGACAGTCAGATCAATTCTGACCATATAGAAATGTATGCTGATAGGACAGCCAAAGGTAATGTCCTTGAGCCAGAAGGCATAATTGAGATCAAATTTAGAACAAAAGAGCTGCTTGAGTCCATGGGTAGGCTTGATAAACAGTTGATCACATTGAAGGCAAAACTTCAAGAAGCTAGGAATACTGGAACTTATGGGATGGTTGAAGACTTACAACAGCAGATAAAATCTCGTGAAAAGCAACTTTTGCCCATATACACTCAAATAGCCACCAGATTTGCGGAGCTTCATGATTCTTCCCTAAGGATGGCTGCAAAGGGGGTGATCAGAGAAATTGTAGACTGGGATAAATCCCGTGCTTACTTCTATAAAAGGCTACGTAGGAGAATCGCTGAGGGTTCACTGATCAAGACTGTGAAAGATGCAGCTGGTGACCAGTTGTCCCATAAATCTGCAATGGACTTGATCAAAAACTGGTTTTTAGATTCTGATATTGCAAGAGGCAAAGAAGATGCTTGGGGGAATGATGAAGCTTTCTTTGCATGGAAGGATGATCAAGGGAAATATGAAGAAAAACTACAAGAGCTACGGGTTCAGAAAGTGTTGGTACAACTGACAAACATTGGTGACTCCATGTCAGATTTGAAAGCACTACCTCAAGGTCTTGCTGCTCTTCTAAGAAAGGTAAATCATTATGTAGTCATTGCTTTTCTCTCACTGCAAGCTTGTCTTCTTTCTTGGATCCAGAGATGATGCTTTATATGTGATGCAGGTGGAGCCATCGAGCCGAGGGCAAATAATTGAAGAGCTTCGAAAGGTCATCAGTTGATTTGGTATGTCCTTTACGAGCGAATATTCATGCTCATACTTAGGTAACAGATATTTTCAAGTGAGAAAAAGAAATGTATTTACAATGCTATTTGCCAACCCTATATGCAATTGTAATTTATCAGCCAAGAGGAAAACCTCACTGTAAATTGGAGAAGGTTCTCCACCGATCAGTTTTAATGCTTCAGTGTAAATTTAGCTTTAATCTTGGGATAAACTAGGAGTAGATTGATATTGTTAAGAGTGGAAACTGGCCAGCATTGGCAGCCTATGCCATCCATGGCTGTTCCTTGGCTTGTTTAGTTATTATTTTTGAAATAATCTGTGAGGTGTATTTATTATTGCTATTATTATTATTTCATATTTATATGAAAAAAGTTCGTTAGGTTCCAATCTGGAACTACGTAATTATCGAAGACTCATTTTTACTTATATGAGACTCAGTATAGTGGTTACCTGTGTATGTTTTGCACCTCATTCTATGAATTACAGAGGACTGTGAATGAAACTTTCAACAATTTTACATTCATAAAAATTATTGATGGATCAAGGAAGCTCTATTTCTATTTTAAGAGTTACTTAAGGATTGAATTTTTTTTTTTTTAAATTAAATCAATTTTCCTAATTAGAATTTATTATAAACTTATAAAGATTTTAAATTGAAAATCAAAGTTTCTTGGTTTATGAACTAAAACATATGGTTATTAGATTAGAAGTAAAGTGGATATGCCTGTCTGTAATTGTAAGATAAACGAGTCTTTTTCGCCACATTTCTCTTTTTATCATTACCAGGAGAAAAAAAAGGAAGCAAAGTGGTCTAGGATGATGAAGACTTTCGAATTGATAAATCTGCAATTATTGCTAGGATAATTACTATTTCATTCTTTTATTTTGCTAAAATTAACTAGCATTTTAAGGACTATATGTAGTGTATCTTTTAAAATAGAAGGACAAAGTAGTTCATTTAAACAAAATGTAGGGATGAAATAGTAAATCTCCCATTATTGCCTTCAAAACCAAATGCAACTCTTTGCACCACCTCCTAAATAGTTCAAAAAAAAAAAAAATGAGAGGTCAAAAATATAATGGCATGGCTTTCTTCTTTATATCTTGCTGTACTTTTCCTTCTTCTCTTTCTCCCTTCTTTTCATTTCTTCAAGTTTATGCTTCTCCTTTTTCCTCTTCATTTCTTCTTTTGCTTGCCTCTTCTTTTCCCTTTCCTTTTCTTCTACCTTTCTCTTCTTTTCTTTTTCCTCTCATTTTCTTCTTTTTCCCCTTTCTTCTTCTCCTTGTCCTTGACCTTGGCCTTCCCCTCCCCCTTTTCTTCTTTTGCTTTACTTTGTTTCTCTTTTCATTCTCCTCCAGCTCTTCCCTCCTCAATTCTCTTTTGAAAGTGAAATACATTTTGGTTACTCCTTCAGTAAGCAGCAGTCTCGTTTGTTCATTTTCTACATCATCTGTTGTCATGTTATTCATAGCCGGCCAAGGTAATAAAATCCCAAAGAACATGCGGCTACAAGCCTTCAATCCATGGCTGAACAATTGCTGCTTCCAAATCCAACCCATTTTGAACTTGTAATTACAAAACCCTAAAAAAAAAAAAAAAAAAAAAAAAAAAAAAAAAAAACAAATCCAACCCATTTTGAACTTGTAATTTACAAAACCCCTAAAAAAAAAAAAAAAAAAAAAAAAAAAAAAAAAAAAAAAAAAAGGAGATAACACAGTTCGTGAACATTACAAGACAGTATTTTTACAAGAGCTACAGAAACATTATATGAAAGTTGCAGTAGACAATAATTGTGTTGAAAGCCTGTACAAGCAAAAATATTGTCTCATCTATTTGCCGATACAGAATTTGCCAAAAATGTTGGACAAGATTTCTTCAGAGATGTCTTCTCCACTTATCTGACCAAGTGCCAATGCAGCATCACGCAAATCAATTGTCCAAAAGTCCAGAGGCATTTCATCCTCTATCGATGATTTCAACCTTGCAAGTGCCTCCTTGGTCCGCACAAGCTGCTCGCATTGTCTCTGTATATCATATGTGGAAAGCAATTATGCACATGAAAAAAATGACTTGAAATAAACTGAGTAATATTGTCCTATGTATTACTGACTATTTGAAACAAAAGTCGTTTGACAATAACTGAAAAGGGTGATAAACCAACAGCTATAAGAACAAAAAAGGGAGAGATTTAATTCATAATGAATAAGTAGCCCAACCTGGTTCACAGTCCATTTCCGCCCCCCTGCAGGTATTCTGTTCAAACCCACAATCTCTGAAATTGCCATCTCCAAATCTTGTATTCCTTGACCAGTAACAGCACAAGTGAAGACATGCTTTGCGAAAGAATTGTTGTATCTATCAACCCATTCCATGCATAAGGATGAAGCGGTGTCTATTTTGTTAATTGCGAGGACCATTGGTGCTGGAGATCCAACTGATTTCTGTAATTCCAAAAGGAAAAAACAAAATCAAAGGAAAGAACAAAATTCTAACTCCACAACAAAGTTTAATTAATCAACTCTGCAACAGCGCACAGGTTAGTGACATGTCAAGAAATGTAAATAAGAAGGCTAAATGTGCTACATTTAAAATTGCAAGAAAGAAGGTAGGTGATTTTCAATACCTTGTTAGATTCAATCTTATTCAGAAGTTCAGTATCTTCTGAAGTCCATCCATCAAAAGCACTTACTGTCATAATAATGACATCAGCACCCATAGCAACTGCTTCAGATCTCTCTACACCTGTACAGAAATCCTTGCATTCATTGATTCATACAATCGAGGCCAAGGCCACAAGTACAACTTAGGTTCACAGTTTCAGTTTCTGAATCTTTTGCTAATTTACTGTGGTATTCCATCAAAATATCTCAAAATAAAAAAAAACAAAATAAAGGAGAGGGAAGTTTTGAAGTTTGTTTGACATTCCCACAAAACCAAATCAATTATTATTGCTTCATGAAGCATGGAAGCACATATTTAAGCAAAAGCACCTCAAGATTGCCATAACCAAGTGAGAAGTATGTTAGAATGTCTTACCAATCTTCTCAACTATGTCTTCAGTGACCCTGATACCTGCTGTATCAAGTAGGGTCACAGGGATACCGCAAACTGTAACACTAGCTTCAACAACGTCTCGGGTGGTTCCAGCAATTTCTGTAACTATTGCCCTCTCACTCTGCACGCTAAACAAAAGCATGACATTCAAACAGTGTTGATTTCAATGAAAGGACAATGACAATATCAAGTCAAACAAAAGTTTGATTTGAAATTTCAATTTCTTTCATTCAATGCATTTCTGGTTTCTACTATTAATACAAAATAGTTGTCTGCACGGGCATTCCACAGATAACACGTGCTGTATTTAATATAAATTGAAAAACAGTAAAAGTTTAATGCCCCAAGAAAAGTGCAGGTATTTGCTATCCATGTTACTTGCTATGAACAGAAAGGAGAATACAAGAGTTCATCTTGGAGACAATCTGAAATTTGGAGACATATGATGACAATATTAAAACTATCAGTTTGTTTCCTAATAGATAGTGTAAGACGAGTTAGTACATTTGTTTCCATGTCTGTATTATCTATTTTCACAAAATATTGTCTGCAAAAGGTACAACATCTAAGGTCTTCGAAATGCACATTTTTAAATTATTTGATATGATTTTTTCTTTTCTCGCATTAGTTAAATCCAATTATATAAGAAATAGAAAACAAGGGGTATTGCATGTAAATAATTTAGAAGAGAACCTTAAGATTAATCTGAAGAATCTTTTCAGAGAAAAAAAAAATATCCAAAAGAGTCTGAAGACTGAAGAGTCCAAATTGAAACACAAAGGCAAAGCAAATAACATCAATAAACACATCATCTTCAGCAAATGGATAAAATATGAAGATAATTAAAATAATAGTTCAGTCTGTGAAGTTCCATATCAATAGCAATAACACAAACCATGAAAGAAAACTAAACCCTCTCTATTTTGGGTTTCCCTTACTTTGGCCAAATATCACCTTACGAATGCTAACCAAAATCTAAGAAATTAAAAAGAGATGCAGCACGTAAGAAAGATGGAACAATCTAGGGTAAACATAATAACGATAAATCAAAATAAAATGAGGATGAAGAAAAGACGTTGCAACATACTTTGCTCCATGAATTGAGAAGGCTTGACTTCCCAACATTTGGACGGCCAACAATTGCTATCTACAGGATTTTAAAGAAGAACGTCACAAAATCAGAATCACGCAAAACATGCATAGATCTGAAAAGGAACTCATCTTCAATAAAACTAATCTGTTCTCTTTGTACAGGTACCAAATTTTAGTATAACAGAGAAAATCAACCACGATGGGAAATAAGTATGCAGCCAACATAGAATTATCTAAATTTGAAGGATAACAGATGATTTTTATGCTTCAGGAAAGCTATGAGATGAATAATCAGACCATGATTTGGAGCACGTCATGCCAGTTACATCTTCAATAACTTAAAGAAAAACCTATAAGATATATTTAAATTTTGTAAGCATCCCAGAATTAAAAACAACATTATGATTCCTTGAGCTAGACATAGATTAAGAAAACTGCCTTGCAGATTTACCACAGAAGCAATGAAAAGTTATAAAACTCCCTTGCAGATTGTATTGTACCTGTAATCCAGATTGCAGGAGCTCGTCATAATTGGCTGTCTCCAGCGCATTCTCCACATTTTGCAACATGACATGAATTCTGTCCATAATTAGGTTCAGATCCAGCGGTGGCATCTCATCATCGAAGTCTAAACGAGCTTCAATCTCTGTAAGCAACTCAATACACTGTGTTCTTAACAATTTGACCAAAGAAGCAAAGCCCCCCTGTTAAAGAACATGAGCCTTTTCAGAATTGCTATTCATTCTTTGAATAAGGCCTTATTATAACCAGACAGGAACTCTTTTAGTTGTTAGACATCCATATTTTCTTGCAGCTTAAAACTATAATTGCTCTAGAAGGGCATAAATGCACAAAAAAAAAAAAAAAAAAAAAAAAAAAAAAAAAAAAGCCACGCTTCATGCTCAAGTTAACAGTCTTACTACATGAAACTTAATAAATGGTAAAAAGCCTATCAAGATCGCACTACAATATTTCCAACTTCTGTGTAAAGTCTTATTCCCAGGAATTAAAAACATAACGATTCCATGCCTACTTCCTTGAAGCTCTCACTTTAGACTCACCATTCTCGAGATGTTCAAGAAAACCATAGAAATATATATATCTCTCACCAACCAGCAACAGCAATGCAACCAAAGTGATTTACATAATAAATCTGCCCTTGCAAGGAATTGTTTATACTGCTCATCCTGTCTAAATCCACGATCTTGCCTACGCTACATCGCTCGTCACTAATCTGAGCCTATTGTTCTCCGAAGCGCATTGTTCTCCACATTTCTTTGGCACAACCATGACCGAGGTAACGGTCTGTCCCATATTAGCCGTCTCAGATCGCAGCCTATGTCCGCTCACGGCCACTGTACTTCATCCATCGAAGTCCTTATAAGATCGAGGAGCAGTTCACATATCCTTTCTTCCGTCAGAGCCAACTCATATAACACTCGCTGTTCCTGACTTAACATTAATTTAGTGACACCAAAAAGAAAGGCAAAGCCCCTCTCCCTCTGTGTATAAAGCAACATGTAGACCTTTTTTCCAGAAGACCCGCACATTGCTGAGTTCAACTTTCTCGTGATCTCAAAGCCCTTGCTCATGATACTCACCAGACTCATAGCGACGACCTTTACGTGGTGATGAATGAACACCATGAGCTTCTTGCGTCATAGCTAGATGATCAAGCCTGCTAGCTCATAAATCCCCTAGAGACAAGCCTTCCGACAGCATGCAAGCCCACCAAAAGAAAAGAAAAAAAAGAACATAAAACACAAAAAAAACACAAAAAAAAAAAATTGGTAGACTGGCTTGTAAAAGCAAAGTCATGGCCCTGTTACGTGTGCACGCTGCATGTACTGAAATGGGTCCGCGATAATGGCTGTATGCAGAGATCTTGTCATAAGCTCTGCCACGATCTACTTTGCCACCTGATAATTTAATTTCAGTACGCAGATGTATCGGCTCTCTCCAGGCTTGAGCGTAGCAGGTCACACTTAAAGACGCTCGCGACGACTCAATCACTTAAACGAAACTGGGACCTCCAGAATTCTCTCGGACAGTGTATAGCGTGAATCGCCACAACCGTCCCTGCGCTCCTTCGAGTATGTACAAACGAAAGAGCTGACGACGAACAGCCTCACATACTGGACCTGTCTACGAAGTTGTCAAAGCCGCTTTCCAAGCATACATGGTGTCCTCATCTCAGCAGCTGCATATGTCGTAGTCTACTCAACCGCATTGTCGTGACTCCTTAAGCGACTTCATCTCCACATATACCACTACGAGATAAAGAGTATGTTAAACGTCAGTGGCAATTTACAATCTAGATCTTAACAGGCAGACACCGGAGACGCAAGATTTCTGGTCCCCCTCATCGGATCAGATCTAAGGAGAGTGACACTAAGTGAACATCAAGACTTCTGGTGTGACTACAGACTCTAGAGGCGGAGGGTGCTCAACTTACTGACCGGCATACTCATATATTGCCTCCTTATTGTTACGTTCGTACATACTACCTTGCCTTTTTTAGCTCATAATTCTGCATCTCGACTATTATCATCGATCACAGGGTGTGTGTATTGCTCATGCTCCGTTGCCACACCCCAGATACGTCTCCAGTATGTCTTGACGTTTGATCCGTATACGTAACTAACTGTCGCAGCCTCATCTTAGCTCCAGTATGACGACGCGGTATTATCACCGTATAAAACGTCTCGTAGCTCCTTACTCCTCTCGGCTCTTACTCCAAGCTGCGACCCGTGCAGACACGACACTATCCCTATCGATCTCCATGTGAGGCGTGGATACACGCACACATACTATATAGCGTCACGTGACTGCGAATGAACACTCTCTGTAGTCAAATGCCCTACGACGAGCAGTGCACTCAGTCGTGATTACATAGTCTTCGACATATTCGGCTATCCTTGTCGTGCGTGTCCATTAAAATATCATCGTTCGCTCGCACCGAGCCACCTCATGATCGACTGTCATCTTGGATCCGTCGGCGCTCCAATCCTCAGCAGTACTCATGCTGCCAGGTACGTCATCTAGATTAACACTCCACAAGCGGCGCATTGCAAGGACTCCAGTTCCCTAGTGCGTTCTAATAATTTTGCAAGACTTGTTACCTATCATAGTTAAAATAGATAACAGATGGATCGTCCGAAGTACATAGACGCATCTCTTGTGCCCGATTTGCTTCGGCATGCACTACTCTTCTTGACCACTGCACTGATCAATATTCAAGTATCACTCTGAGTCATCCATCTTTAGTTATAACCTCCATCGTGATACTGCATAGCACTTCTCATAGCGACACATTCACAGTATAGATCTGATCACCACTCCTCGTACACTCTAGTTCAATAAGTGACGATTCCTCCACATCACAGTCTACTACCACACACTTGATAAACACAGGCCGCTCGCTAGACTGCTCAGGAAGCAGCCATACAATACAGACACGCTAAGCGCAGCTGTATACGTATTGTATCATATTCATCTCATGCGCGAGCGTGCCGCATAATGCGCGCAAGACACCTTTCAATTACGAACGCGTCCGACGTGGGATGCGCTGGCGTGGGCGTGATTCAGCGCCGCATATGTCACTCTGCTCATGCTACACAACGACGATATCCTGCCTCTCCGCTCGGCTTGAATGACAGCGAGCTGCTCGAATGCGCAGCAGCTAACTAGTTATCGATTGTACACGATAGCGTTAGCACCCTGTCTAGATACATGTGTTACGAACACCTCACAAGACGCACTGATACGCCATTCGTGCCTATACTCTCTCAGTGACAGCGCACGGACTCGACCAATCCACCGACATAGACAGCGCCGCCCCAACGTCGGTAGCTGCGCGCCTTGCGTACCGATCTCCGCTCACCAACTGTCAGAGCCTAACGTCAACCGAGTTTCACAAATCGCGTGAGCCTCTGCTCTCATGTATCATAGTGCGCTCGTCATAGCCTCTAACAATAGCCTTCAGCTCCCGTGCCGAAGAGTCTGTGGCTACGTACTCAGCTGTGTCCAGCGTGGACTCAATGAGTACAGATCACAGCGGATAGATACCTATGCAGCGTATCATTGTGACTCTCAAAAAAAAAAAAAAAAAAAAAAAAAAAAAAAAAAAAAAAAAATTAGAGCTTGAAAGAAAACATGCCTGTAGTCCGGCTAATGCTGAATCTGCAGCTGCCACAGACTTTGCTGAAATTAATTTTCCAACATTTTCAGCTTGGGACAGGTCCAAACGTCCATTAAGAAATGCACGAAGAGTGAACTCGCCTGAAAGAAGAAGCTATGCTAATAATTCAATAGTTTATCTCATAGTGTTCACATGGACCAACTTTCCATCAAGAAAAGAGAGTAAACATGGATTTCATCTAAAGGCAGAAGGAGAGCCAGATTTCTGGTCCGGTGATAGGAGAGTGAAACATAACATAAGACTCTGGTGACTACAGACTAAGGGGCAAATATATATATATTGTCCTTATTTTTACTCCTCTTTTATTGTTTGCTTATTGTGGTGGGTTGAGCGGGTGATCATGTAATGGAATTATCATTGTACAATGTTGTTCCGGCTTGGCTAATGAACGAGAAGAGGAGGCATCTTAATATTGCATGCACATGATACATCCACGATAAAACTGGTTATTTCAAAAAAAATTTATTTCCTTTTGATAAAATTAGTTTATATATATTCGACATAGAATCCATACCATAAGCTTCTTAAAGGAACTCATACATGCAAGTACAAGCTTAAATAAGAAACCAACCTGGCTCTGCAAGCCTAGCCCCAGCTTGAAGACAAGCTCTCAGCACACGAGTAAGACATACTTCACTCCCATGACACTGAAGCTCAACCACATCTTCACAAGTGTAAGATCTTGGTGCCAACATGGGCAAAGCCAAAACCTGAGAGAACCAAAAAGGAAGTCATTTCACATTACGCCATCGTATGGTGAAAGTCAAACAAACAAAAAGGATCACAAAAGGGTCATAATCAGAATCATCCCATCTAATAAGGCCTTCAGTAAGCAAATCAGCGCACTTATACATACAGCGAAAAGACGACAATTTGATGTTCAAATCAGCAATACAGGAAACTTGCAATTTTTAAAAACTTGTTACTTCTACTGAATAAATCGAATAACGATTCACAGAAGCTGAAGCTTAACTAAGATAAGGCCAGAAAACAATAAAAGCCCCTTAACATTTTTAGTTTTTTGAGAACACTCACTTCTATATAACAAAAAAACTTAAATGATTATACCTCATCTATTACATTCCCTTCATTGTCGAGAACCACCCCATAATCCACAACATGGCTAGTAGGCTGCCATGCACACAATCCTCCACCCTTATTTTTATTTTTCTTCTTCTTTTTCCTCATTGGTTTAAACACACGGGAAGCAATATCCACCGCAGATGGACCCGACAATCGAACAATCCCAACAGCTGCAGGCGGGCCGCCTAAGGAGGTGACAATTGCAGCAATTGTGGTGCCCGAAATGTCATTCTGCAAAATACCATTTTGGCTAAGCAAGCGCTGGTCTTTATTGTTGAGAAGCAAAATGGGGTTTGAGACTGGGCTCTGATTGACAACAGCATAGGGTTTCAAAGGGGCTTGGAGTTTGTGGGTTTTGGGAGGTAAGAGAAAAGAAAGGTTTTTTCCGGTGGTGGTGGAGGTTGAGAGTTTAGATGGTAAAAGGGATGGGATGGTTTTTTGAGCGAAGAAGTGACTGATAATGGAGCGAATTGTTGGCAGAAACAGAGACCGAGCCATGACAGCTTGAAAGTATGGTTTTTTTTTTTTTTTTTTTTAATAGCTCCCGGCCTCAAACATCATCCGAGTCTGCTAGTATTTGTGAGAGCAGACTCCATCAGATACAAGTCGTACCGAATAATATCTGGCCTCGTGATATTATCACAGTGCATCACGCGTTACAGTGTGCTGCGCCTAACACTATTCACGAATCGTTCATCATGCGTCTACATTTGCTGGCAACGGCATCTCTAAGGTTCCAAGTCGCTGGGTGTCTCTAACATACTAATAGAGAGTCGGATGGCGCGTACCTTGGAGACCTACTAGCTGCGTTTGGCTGTGCACAGGGTCTCTTGTGCCGCTGATTACTTGCATTCTCGTCTATGCCTTACTGAACACTCGAGGTAGTACGAGCGACCAGTATACAATAGAAGCAATCACAAAGACAGTGTTTTATCGTGACCTAATTAGGCACTCTGCACGGGAGACAGGTACCTGCCATAATCTCTGCTAGATAGAGCACTCTATACCGACGGCTCTCACCGGTGCACATGAGGTCGACCGTGAGCACAGAGCTAGCAGCCCGTCGCTGTTGTAATCGGTGAGTCACGCGATACGCAGTCAGGCGTCTGAGCGCGCGAGTACTTTAGGTGACTGGATAATACATGAGGCATATGAAATGACGTCTGCCCCATGGTCCATCGTGTCATCGGTTCTTAGTGATGACTGTCGCAACGTGAGCAGCACATGGCATAGTGACTCACGGTGGCTGCTCTCGACTGATAAATGAGCGGATACTTCAATGCGACTAAGTCCTAGGCTGAATTACGAGCTGTCTTGGGACCTCGTACCGGAACACACTCTGAGGAGTGACCCCAGCAGCAGCTCTTAACTGTATCAGTAGCTTAGTGAAGCTGGAGCTATGGGCGCGTTATCCTGTTTATCGTGTGTTTGTATTTATTTTGGTCCTGTGCGATGCCTCGAAGATAAAGAATAAAGCACCTGTCATAAACCAGACTGCTGTTCGTTCTCCAATCGCCCCACCGCGCTAACTGTCGCTGCCAGAGATCCAACACACCAACCGATCGGATGGTTAAGACGGCGCGAGTACTCGCGTCTTCGTCTGAAGTAGGACTCTACGTTAGTCGACTCGGATCCATCCGTGGCGGAACGGACAGCAGAAATGCGTCACGGAGATACACCGAGTCTTATCCTCTGAAAGCATTCCGAGAATCAGTTTCTACTACAATTGAGCGAGCTACGTCTGTTGAGTTCAACCCTCTATTTGATTTTTGACCAAGAGGCAAAACACAAGATCAGTCTCCAAATATCCGCGCTATGTGAGATTTTGCTGGTTCCCTCTCTTAAATTTGTTTTACTTATGACACAAAACCATTCCATTACTCGTCCTACAGCTGTGCTCTTACTTTATCCACTCACTACTCTTCGGGTGATGTTTTCTATTACCTGTCCAAATATCTCCTTATCATGGTATGCAGATGATTAATTTGTATATGTTCTTCCTTTCAAGTCTCTAAACAATGCCGTGGACCTACCTTTTTGTAACGAATCTCACACACAAATACTCGCACTGTTCATTCTGTGACATTCTATCGCTCTGACAAGATACCATCGCCAAATTGAAAGACAAAAACTAAAATATGCGACTGCCATATATAGTCAGAGCCCCTCATAAAAGATCACACTAACAGCTGTAAATACAGTCACCTATAATCGCTAATATGTCGACTAACCCACACATACTAGTTATCAGTATTCTCCTCCATAATTATCCAAATGAATCTATATATTTCTGGTTCAGAGGTCTTAATTGCACCTTATTCTCATCAGCGCAATTCATCTCTTATCCCAGAATACTCAACTACTACGCCATATTATACATTTGTGGCATTGATAGGCAAATACGCGTGCCTTAAGTAATCGATCGATGCTAACTAGGGATCACATAAAGATCTAGACTTACTGACAGCATAGTATTGGATACATACACTCGCTGCGAGTCATATTTATACTGCGCACTTACACAACACATATAACTTCTGATCTTATTTCTAACCTAGTTTCTATTCATATGGAACTACAATACAATCAGCGGCTCGAGTGCGTGCTCACGTTGCAGGATGCAGTCACTCCTGAATATCCTTGGCTACTTCCGCGCGATGCACATCGACTTATCGCATCTATGCCGATAGCGCAGCTTGCAATCATACCCATACGCATCAACTCCCTACAGACACCTCCTTTCGCCATCAGCATCAGTAACTGATATAGAATTAGAAGATACAGCGACGTTTTTTTGTGTCCTCTAGCGGATACAGTCTTCCCGGTTATCATGAGGTGGCACAAACATTATCCAGATCTCATTTCTAAATATCTGTCTTCACTTGGCAGAGAAGTCTTAATCTATGTCTTATACACCGATCGAGCGTACCTGTACTACTCTCACGGCACTGACCTCTCCATATACTAGAATCTAAGACTATCTATTACATGACTCTGACTCCCTTTCTATAAACATGAGAAGCACTATTATATTAATCCACGGCTGCTCAATAGACAACGATTAATTGAATTATGCTCTCCGGAATCTATAAATTTGAATAGATTGCCCTCTTATAACATCTTTACAAACCAATACAATCTACAAGATGTGTGTGTGATTTTGTGCATCATTTGTCACGTTGTCGTCAGGACCACGCAACAGAAATGTCTGAGTGCATCAGTCGTTGCTACTAAACCTCGTGCGTCAGTCTCCCATAGAGTGGTCAATGAGGTCCTAATCTTCACTGTCTTTGCTTCACCTTGCTCTTGCTGGTACACGTATACAGCTCCCTCTATGCTCTCTCAGCAAGCCTGTCACAAACAACACTCATATGCTATCTAGACATTTGCGCATCCTTCACTCAGAAGCGCGTCTCAATCGTATGCGCCTTTTACTCCTTAACGAGTATACGCTACCGCGGCTTACATATACTATGGAGAATCTCATTCCTTAGCACTGTGTTCCTGCACACACGGCTATCGCAAACATGATCATTACTCATTTAACAATGCGTACTATACACACATCCCACAATTCATTGGGCAAGAAACTCAGCTTGAAGAGGCGAAGAAATCAATAAAATCATCATAATAAACTCATTGCATAACGTGTGCGAATACCTCAACAGATATGTCTATTAAGGCACCTTCTCTCACGAATCATTGTCACGATCCATACTGCCACTGTTCACACCGTCCTAACTCCGTCCTACTTATAACGTTGATAACACCCGTCCTCGGTTTCTCTATAGTCGTCAGCAGGATAAAACACGATGTTGATACTTAACCACGTAGGGCTGCAATAATCCGTTACACCTAGAGAGTGCCTGTCCGTCCGCCCGTTCGATCCTGCCATCCAATCCAAAACGCATAACACAGGAATATCATATAAGATACACCCATATGAAAGAGAAAACCCGGAACATACCGTGCGTGATAAGATGACCGACTCTACATATCACTACATACCGGAGTGTGAGTTCAGAATTTTTTCAAGCTAACGCATACGACTCTCTAATTGCGCACGTATATTTGAGCGCCACAAGTCATCTATCAGACGCTCTGCGCGACCTTGGACCGTCATCCCCTATGTTTATCACTCGTGCTTATCAGAGGACCGCCCAGATGGTATCACTCACCGTCGTCATATTCTGATATTCTCCATAGCCAGTTAATCAACACCTGCTTATAAGTTCAAAACCTACATCAACATGACGACGTCGTCAATTTCATAGATTCTTCTCGCCAGACAGCCATTCTCTCTGAGGTCCGCTCTCCTTACATACCAGCGATCATCCAGATTGCTGGTTGCACAATACACCCGCTCTCTTCCCTCTCGTTGTTAAACCCTCTGCGATATATACGTGCCTACTGTTCCGAACACTACTTGAGCCGAGTGCATTCCAAGTGACATGAACCTCCTTAGCTTTGATTCCATCGTATACCCATATCTCAGTTCAGTGCCATAAACCTACAGAAGTACGTCTGACAATGACAGAGGATCTGCGTATGCTCTCCCTCTACTTGTCTTACCCATGCTCTTACCTCACTATCCGCAAAAAAATCTATGATACCCTCTGCTCCGACCTCTAACAATAATGCATCTCGAGACATACAGAAAACTGCACGTGTCTTTCTCTAACGATCCTTCAGAAGACCCTTCCCATAAGCATACAATATAGCATTAAGTGCGACTTTTTTGAACATAATAATTATTCTTTGTTGGTTTATAATACTCTATTTCGCCACTCGTTCTCTTCTTTCCAACCATCTGCGTGCCACTCTTCGCTTCTATCATTCTCTTCCATTTAGTTAGCAGAAATAAACTTCTTTTCCTTGCTTTAAAATATATAGTTGCTCTGAACTAATTAAACTATTTTTCACACTCCATGACCAGACCAGACCCTACATTTTAAGAAACACCTTATATCAGAGTCATCCGTACGATACTATTCCTTACTACACCCCTCTTTGTAAATATCACTTGAATCAGAATAAAAAACAAAATTAAATTTAGAATACTATATAAAGACTCGATATCCATCATTCTCCATTGCAAAACAAAATATTAGATGTATTTCGTGCTAATAGAACTATACCTAGACGTATGAGCTTATGCACTCCAGCTAAGACGTATACTGTACAGGCAACTGTATTCTTACCCACACTGCCTTCTTAGCAACCAAGAACTAATCTCATACTTCTCATAATATCTTCCGTCATCGCATTAACCACACAACTACCTAGACGATACCTACCAAAAATTGAGGATACCTTTCGTACTACCTTTGTAGCGACCTACCAGGACACTTTTACTCATCTCCTGCTCCTTCTCTTCAGATTAAATCCCTGTACGGCGAATTCTCCACACTCGCATATAATGTTAGTCGTCTCAATTTTCAGGCTACACACACCACACACAAAATGTAACGTCTCTGTGTCTCCTACTCTATCTTCACCCAATACACTGCTCTCTCTATATACCTCTTCTTTACG